ACGGCCTGGGAAAGCAGTGGAGGATGTCTCTAAGCCTTGGGCCTAGAGCACCTGCACCTAGGTGGGTAGGCTTGGAAGAAGCTCCTGGCTTCATATCAGCTCGGCTCTGGTTGCTGCAGCCATTTGGGGAGTGAACCAGTGGATAAAAGACCTCTGTGTGTGAGTCTCCTCTCTCTGTAAAAATCAGCCTTCCAAATAAAAATAAATCTTAAAAATGACATACACAGTGTCTCCATAGATAATGCTAAAAGTCTCCTGAGATGTGGAAGGCCATAGCCCATCTGATATTTCTTTTATTTATTTATTTATTGTGTGTGTGCAAAGCAAGATTTATTTCAGAGAATGAAAGAGAGGTCTCCTGCTTTAGTGACAGGAGGAGGCTCCAAGGTAGGAAAGACACAAGAAAATGGTGGAAATGGTATTTTTTATGCACCATCTCAGGGGAGGGAGAACAAAAGGTGTCACTGGAAGGGCAGAAAAGAAAAAAGGGGGGGGATCTATCTCAGGCCATGTGGGGATCTTATCTACTAAAGAACCTAGATGAGAGAAGCTGCCTGGGGCCGGCGCAGTAGCCTAGCAGTGAAAGTCCTCACCTTCAATATGCTAGGATCTCCTGTAGGTGCCGCTGGTTCTAATCCCAGCAGCCCCAGTTCCCATCCAGTTCCCTGCTTGTGGCCTGGGAAGGCAGTAGAGGATGACGGCCCAAAGCCTTGGGACCCTGCACCCTGCATGGGAGATCTGGAAGAAGCTCCTGGCTCCTGACTTCGGATTGGCTTAGCTCCAGCTATGGCACCCACTTGAGAAGTGAATCAATGGATGGAAGATCTTCCTCTCTGTCTCTCCTCCTCTCTGTAGATAGGACTTTCCAATAAAAACAAACAATCTTAAAAAGAGAGAGAGGCTGCCTGCCTGCAGAAGGGTTATAGGAATTGAGATTTTCTGGCAGTGAGAGAGAGCCTTTAAGAGTAAGCAGCAGAGAAAGGGACTTATCAGGGTCTGGGACAGATTGGGGTTTCACTGAGCCATGCGGCAAGGGGCTCATGGCCTCACCACAAACTGCACCAATCTTACTGACAAACTGACTGCCACAGGAGGAAGAATAGGGTGTAGATTTCAGCCTGACACTCTGATGGGCTGTCTAAGTCTCAGGAGCCTTCTGAAAGTCGACAGAGAAGCCCCGACTTGATTTCCTGAAGTTCTCCAAGACACTCCCCCAGACTCATGCAACAGGCCTAGTTCACGAAAGGAAACTAAGATCGGACAGGACCAACATTACTGGAGCTTCTATCCTCTTGGTTTTCATTATGTTTCCTGTTTCTGTGATCTGATCATTCTAGTTACTATATACAAAGAAAACCACACAGTATTTGTCTTCAAAAAAAAAAAAATTTTTTTTTAATTTATTGGGCCCAGCACTGTGGCCTAGTGGCTGAGGTCCTCACCTTGCATGGTGTGGGATCCCATGTGGGCACTGGTTCGTATCTCAGCTGCTCCACTTCCCATCCAGCTCCGTTTGTGGCCAGGGAGGGCAGTGCAGGATGATCCAAGGTCTTGGGATCCTGCTCCCAAATGGGAGACCCGGAAGAAGCTCTTGGCTCCTGGCTTCGGATTAATGGAGCTCTGGCCATTTGTGGCCACTTGGGGAGTGAACCAGCAGGTAGAGGATCTTTCTCTCTGTCTTTCCTTGTCTTTGTAAAATCTGCTTTTCCAATAAAAGATCCTCCACCTCCTCTGGGTCTCCCACAAGGATGCAGGGTCCCAAGGCTGCTTTCCCAGGCCACAAGTAGGGAGCTGGAAGAGAAATGGAGCAGCCAGGACATGAACCTGTGCACATACAGGATCCTGGCACAAGTAAGGCAAGGATTGAGCCACAGGCCCAGCAGACCAGACCCACAGTATTTGTTGTTTTTTGACTAGCTTATTTCATTTGATGTAACATCCTAAAGATCCACTTATATAGTAGCATGCTGTCAGAATTTCCTTCCTTTGTAAGGTTTAATGATATCCCATTATATGTACATCCCACATTTTGGTTATTCACTCATTAGTCAATGGACATGTGGGTTGTTCCACATGTTTCTAAAAAAAAATTTATTTACTTATTCATTTATTTTTTTGAAAGACAGAGTTACAGAAAGAAAGAATCTTCCATCTACTGGCTCACTTTCCAAACTGCTGCAAGGGCCAGTGCTAGTCCAATCTAAAGCCAGGACCCAAGAGTCGCCTGTGTGGGCCTCCCACATGGATGCAGAGGTGCAAGCCCATTGCTTTCCCAGGCCATTAGCAGGAAGCTAGATTGGAAGTTGAGCAGCCTGGACTTGAACCAGTGCCCACATGCGATGCTGCTATCACAGGCAGCAAACTAACTTGTTACACTGCTATGCCACAAAGCTGGCCCCCGTTTCCACACTTTTAACTATTGTAAATAATGTTGCTATGAACCTAGGAGTATGAATCTCACTTAGAGACACTCTTTCCAATTCTTTGAGGACTATAATCAAAAAAGCAACTGCTGAGTCATATAATTCTGCTTAATTTTTTTTTTTTAATTATTGATTTGAGAGGCAGAACAACAGAGTAAGTAAGCTTCCATCCATGCTTTCAGTTTCACAAACTCCCACAAATGGCACAGGCTGGCTGACCTTAAGCTCAAACAAGGAAATTAAATCAGGACTCTTACATGGGTGGCAGGAATCCAATTACTGGAGCCAATACCATAGCCTTTCAGGATCTGCATCACAGGAATTGACTCAGCAGCAACAGCCAGGGACTAAACCCAGCCCTCTGATGATGAGGCCCCGCTGTCTTCATCAGCATCCTAACCAGTAGGCCAAATGCTCAGCTTGCTGTTTAATTTTTGGGGGGAGAACCGCTATACTGTTTTCTATCATAGCTGCACCACTTTACATTTCCAAAACAATACACAAGGGTTCCAATTCTACCTTTCTGTGCTAAGGGTGTGAGATTTTTTTTTTTTATTCCTTTTTTAATTGGAAACTCAGATTTAAAGAGAATGAGAGATAGAAAGATCTTCCATCCAATGGTTCACTCCCCAAGTGGCCGCAACAGCCAGAGCTGAGCTGATCCAAAGCAAGGAGCCAGGAGCATCTTGCATGTCTCCCATGTGGGTGCAGAGTCCCAAGGCTTCGGGCTGTCCTCCTCTACTGCCTTCCCAGGCCACAAGCAGGGAGCTGGATGGAAACTGGAGCAGCTGGGATACCAATCGGTGCCCATATGGGATCCCAACACTTGAAAAGACCTTTAGCCACTAGGCTACTGCACCAGGCTTAGAGTGTGAGTTTTCAAAAAACAAAGCATGAGTGGGTCACACTCACCAAGACTGCCCAGAAGTATGTTTTGAAGGTGCAGGGAACATAGTTTTCAAGTGAATGCAGTTAAATAAGTCATGGCAAAAACAATAAAGAGAGATTATACAGACATTATAAACTTAAAGAATTTCATTTTTGAGTAAATTTGGCATCCCATATGAGCACAGGGTTTGAGTCCTGGTTGCTCCACTTCCTTGCTAATGCACCTGGGACAGCAGCAGAACATGGCCCAGGTGTTTGGGCCACTGCACTCACGTGGGAGATGTGGATGAAGCTCCTGGTGTTGCCTTGGACCAGCCCCAGTCACTGCCGGCATTTGGGGAGTAAACCGTCGGCTTGAAGATGTAGCTCTCTCTCTCTCTCTAACTCACCCTATCAAATAAATAAACCCTTAAAAGAAGTCAGCACTCAAATTTATGTGAGGGCCGAGTGTGTGCTAGACTGCAACACCCACTGGTTCCAGTGGAAGTCAGGGCTGAAAACAGAACCAACCCAGCGATTGCAACCACCAGCCGATCAGGGCGATGGACTGTGCCGGGCCCTGTACTGGCTAGCACATAGCTATATGTTGGCAGTGCAATACTGGGCAAATGGAGACTCTAAGATGGACTATGTCAATCAGTGGATTCTTCAACGACCTCATCGTGCTTGGAGTGGCGAGATTGGCAGCGATTCATTACTGTTGAACTATCAAAACCACTTGAGCAAGACCCTCGGAGCATGCCCCACATCAGGAACCTGGGGTGGGTGGGGATTCCCCCTCAATTTCCCCTTACCTCAGATACATGAAGGAAACAATATGGAAATAATACTCTTACCCACTTTCCTATAGCCCTTGAACATTTTTGCCCTAATGAACTATGTAAAGATTGTAAAAAAAAATATATTTTTTTCAAAATACAGTGGTGAGTAGTTGAACTGGGGGTGGTGCTTGGCCTGCGGGTCAACACAGTATCCTCACAGCGGAGAACTTGGGTTACCTGAGTTCCAGCTCCAACTGGGTTCCAGCTTCCTGCTAATGCGGATCCCGGGAGTGGCGATGGCTCAGGTAGTCCGCCGGGAACTCAGCTGCCAGGCCCGGATTGGGGTCTTGGCTTTCAGGCCTCCGCGCGCGGGTCACAGCCAGCATTTAGGCAGTAAACCAGTAGACAGGGGCTGTCTCTCAAATAGTTTTTAAAACAGCTTAAATGGTGTACGTCGCTAACGTTTCTTTTGGTCAGAAGAGGGCTAAGCCCCTGCCTCACACAGGTCAAACCTCGGTTATTCCAACACCTGCCTCCCCTCAGCCTCCGTCCGGCCAGGCGCCCGTGGAGACCCCACAGCCCTGGAGGCGCGCGGAGGGCGCGCGGTGCGCCCCGGCTCCCCGGCGCGCGTGCGCAGCGGCCTCCGCGCGTCGCCCCACCCGCGTCCGCCGCCAGTCGCTGAGGGAGGCGGTGGAGAGCGCGGTGCCGCTCCGGCCCGGCTGACCGTTGGCGCCTTCAGCCCAGCTCTGCGGGGCGCCCTCCTCCCACCCCAGCCGCGGCGCTGGCCCCGACACCCCAGGACGGAGCCCGGCGGGGGTGGGGGAGGGGCGGAGCATTGCCCCGTGACGCCCCAGGGCCTCCCGCTCGCCCCTGTCGGCCCGCCCCGAGGGGCGTGAGGAAGGGTGGGGCTGCGGACTTCGGACTCCGACTCCCGGATCTTCGCTGTTCTTCCCAGCCGCCGCAGGCAGCCTCGGCTAGGTGGCGAGTGGAGCCATGTCGGCGCTGCTGGAGCTCTTGCCCGAGGTGCGGGACACCTGCACTTCGCTGGGCCTGATGCTGTCGATCGTGCTGTTGGCGGGGCTGACCCGCGTGGTCGCCCGGCAGCAGCGGCACAACCCCATGGTGCATGGCTTTGTCTTGGAGTTTGTAGCCACCTTGCAGCTCTGCTGCTGCACCCACGAACTGCAACTGCTGAGCCAGCAGGACCCCGCACACCCCACCTGGACGCTAACGCTCGTTTACTTCTTCTCGTTGGTGCACGGCCTGACTCTGGTGGGCACCTCCAGCAACCCGTGCGGCGTGATGATGCAGATGCTACTAGGGGGGATGTCTCCCGAGGTGGGTGCGGTGAGGTTGCTGGCCCAACTGATGAGTGCCCTAGCCAGCAGGTACTGCATAAGCGCCCTGTGGAGCCTGGGTCTGGCCAGGTATCACTTCGACGAGAGAAGCTTGGCTTGCAAGCATCCCATCCACGTGGACTTGCCCAAGGCGGTGGTAACAGAAGCCCTCTGCTCCTTTATCTTCCACAGCGCTCTGCTGCACTTCCACGAAGTCCGGACTAAACTCCGTATCCACCTGCTGGCCGCGCTCATCACCTTTCTGGTGTTTGCAGGTTTGTCTTTCCCCCTAAACACTTGGCAGGTCCGGGGAACTTTTGTCCTGGCTGACTGAGGCTCCTGGAGAGTGCTTCATCAAGAAACCTGTGAAACCCTTCCTCCATTGTGTTGTAAATAATGCTATCCCGTTATTCTACCCAAGGAGCTCACACGGCCATCATTCGGTGCTGAAACTGAGACCTCTTGAGGGGTTGCCAAGGGTTCAAATATCCTACAAAGGGATTAGCTGAATGTTAAAAAAGGTGTCAGTTACCTCTTTCTTTCTGCCAAGATGCTATAGCTCCTTGCAGACACTCTCACTGAAAAATGATCCTTAGTTTAAAAACTTCCTTCCAAAATAAGGCACAAAGCACATGATAGGCTAGTAAGAACAGGGAGTAGAAATTCTGTTGTTCCATCTCTTAGTCTTTGTAAATTACCTGACACCATTTCTTATAACCTCAATAGTTCATTTTGTCATAAATTAACTTTGAAATGGTCTACCAAGAAATATGTATTTTCAAGTTAAGATATGCTTCCAATTAGAGTACTTAAAAAAAAAAAAAACAACAGGTAACTTGAGGAATCAGTGGGTTTCTCCTTAAACCATTACTTTACCTCAACAGATCTCAGATGCAGTGGATAATCAACACTGGACATGGGACAACAAAATCCAAAGGGAAGGTGTTTAACTGTAGAGCATGTAAAATGGTCGCAAGAGCTTGTCTTTCTAGGGACTAAGTCTGTGTTATGAAACGTGGTGGCAGGAATTCAGCACAGGACATTAGCAGGAACAGTCTGTCTTCTGCCCAGTGGAAGGGAAGCCACCAGTATGGACAGGTCCTGCGCAGAAGCCGACCTGCTACTGCAAACATCGAAAGGTTCCCAGGCTGTTCTCCCTTCTTTCAATCTAGTACCTGTTCTTTTAAGTAGACACAGATGGAAATAAATGGCATAGGAGAGTGGGAAGGGACATATACACATTTAAAGGGTTGGTGGATACTGATTATTAAAAGCTTTGACTAAAGCAGAAACATCCCATCTAGGAGCAGAACCATTTCTGTCCAAACCAGTTATGCCACAGTTTATCTTTGTATTTACACATTGAAGGACAGTAAGAACTTAAAAAAACTGATAACTATACAGTGTCCCTCCTTCTTCCATTGGCTATCCTGAAGTTGATATTGTCTGTTTTTAGACACTAGTGCAGTCATGATTTTTTAAACATATATTACATGTGTATATGCATTCCCTATTTTATGTGACAGCAATTTTGAGATAAAAAATATTGAAGTTATAAATGTAAGAAACACTGAAAATAATTGATAAAATACCAATTTAAAGGGTTCAGAGAACTTTTTTTTTCTTAAAATATGGGTCCTGACTGAGGGAGGAAAGGCAGTCATGAGAACACTGGGGTCTTGGGTGGCAACATTCTGTCTGCATCAGGATCACTGGGGGAGCTTGCCAAAGGTGCCCATTCTGGGTGCAGACACTGAGGCTGCAGGAATCTGAGGAGTGACTCAACCCATGGAAGATCTCTGTATCTGCCTTTCTCTGTCACTCTTTCAAATAAAAGCAACAAAAATTAATTTTCAGATTTTCATTGTATACAGAGCTGAGCTGTGGCATAATGTTGCGTATAAAGGTCTGCTTTAGCCATAATCTTAAACCAATAAGCATTTCATCTAAGTGAAGTGCCATGTTTTTCTTTTTGTGTCTGGATTATTTTGCTTGGCTTAATGTTTTCAAGCTTCATTCTGGTATATTAGAACCTCATGCCTTTTTGTAGCTGATTGATACTCAATTGGATATGCCTTTGTAACTTTGGAGTATACTGAATAAATGCTGGTAATGAAACATTATGGGGCAAGGAGAGGGAGTGTGATATTGCAGGTAGGAGAAGAAGTCGCTGGATGTAAGGGGTGGAGAGAGATCGTTATCCATGAATTCACTCCCCAAATGCCAGCAAGAACCACGGCTTGGCCAGGCTGTAGCGAGGTGCCAGGAAGTCAAGGGTTTGAGCCATCAGCTGCTGCCTCCCAGGCACATTTGCAGGAAGCTGGATTGGAGGTAGAGTAGCTGGAACTCAGCCATCACTGAGACATGGGATGTGGGCATAATAAGCAGTTGCCACAACTCCTGTCCTGGGAGATTTATTATTATCATTAGTAATAAAACATCCCTGTGTCCCTCTTTCCTCTGTTGATTATCCTAGGGTATTCTTTGTACCTATTCTTATAACACACAAGACATATGAAATATCTAGAGCAGCCAAATTAATAGAGTCAGAAAATAGAAGTGACCAGGGACTGAGAAGGAGGGGGCAATGGGAACTCCTGGTTAAAGGATACAGTGTTTCTTTTTGTGTTGGTGGAAAGCTGTTGGAAATATGAAGGCACTTCAAAATGCTCAGGCAAAATGTATTCAAAAGTAAAAAATAAAATGCATGCATACTTCTTCCTAATACACATTGTCCATGAAGACTATGAAGGCCCACCTGGATACTGTCGAGAGTCAGACAGCATTGTGAATATAAAGATTACCCAGTGGCATTTCTGATTATATATTTTATAATTGAAAAATAAAGATCCTACTGTTTGGACAACATGGGATTCCATTTTAAGGTCTCATTCTCAGAGGCTTACTCTGCTGCTGTATACTGTGAGACTCCAGGAGGAGGAGGACAAGGCACACTGGTGCAGGAATATGGAGCACAAAAAAGCCTCTTTGGGGAAAAAGTGCACTAAGCCATTCACTCCCTATTTTTTATGAGTTTAAGTCATAGAAATCAAAGTTAATTTAAAAATATTTAAATATAAAATTCCTGGATGTTCCCTCCAACGTCTACAGGTCTACAAGAATAACTGGTCTAAGAACAGCTAGCTTAGTACCATTCGCTTATCAGCAGACTATAAACCAGCATTGAGTTTTGGAAATGCAAACTTTAAGGATGTCTGCCAGCATTATCCAGGGGGAATAGGGTAAATTCAGTATTGAGAAAACAGGACTTGCCCTGAGAAGTCAGCTCTGTACAGTGGTGTTTGGTCATATTTCAGCATGGCCTAGCAGCTCTGCCTTTGCTTTGAATGCATTCTAACCAAACAGCTTCTGATGATGGATTTGGCTTTGGTGGGGGAGCAGGAGACTTAACCAGGACATGGGAGGCCTGGAGATGGAAGACAAAGCATATGATAGTACAACAAAGACTTAACGAGATAAACAGCAAAGCAATACCGTATTTTGGGCTTTTGGTAACACTGAACTCATGCCTGATACAAGTTGATAACTTATTTTTCCTGATTCCCTGGGTGAGACGGGCAGGTTACTCATGCAGTTGCATTCAGCTGGACAGTGGTGGGTCTGGAAGAGCCAAGGTATTACCACTCCCGTCTGGCAGAGTGCCCCCTGGCATCTGGGAGCCTCAGTTCCCCTCCACGTGGTCTCTCATCCTCCAGCAACCTAGACCAACTTCCATGGTCATGCATTGTTCCGAGAGCGCAAAACATGGAAGCCGATGGGTTTGCTGAGTTTTTTCTACCTAGAATTCAGTGTCAGGTCTGTTGCATTCAGAATTCACATTGTCATTTTTGCTACATTCCGTCAACACAAGTCACAAAGCAGGTCAAAAACAGACTCTTGGTATAGAAGGAGCAGCCTCCACCAGGTCCACTGAGCAGAAATGGTAGTGGGGGAAGCGAAGCAGTTTTAGGATAGTGTGAGTGGCCGTGCTCACCTCAGACCTGATGGGGAATCTTCAGTATTATGGCCTGCAATACTGATGTGAACTATGAGGCTGGTGGCTTAGTCCATTTTTACTGCCAAATGCCTGAGGTCACAGGACATATTATATTATTATATATTAAAGATCTATGTGAGCTTTTTATGCCCATGTTGTCTTACACATGGAAACCAGTAATTTTTGAGGCACTGAAATGACGAGCTGCCAACCAAATAATTGTGTTGATCCTTGGTAGTTACAGATTTAACATCTCAGAATTTGACCATTTAAGATTGGCTTTGAAGGTTCATAATGCAATGTCACTCAGTTGCCAGAGCACGCGTGAACCATGCTGTGAAGTAGGTATGTTAGAACTCAGAGCCGTGGAGCGAGCTTAGGCCGTTGCTCAGTATCATCACCTTGACACAGCATCATTGTTCCTAACCCATCAAGCATGAAACTTTGAGAAATCTTGTGAAAAGGCCACTTAGTTTCCGATTTTACTTTACTGTAACTTATGAAAATAACATGCTATAGAAGTGTATGTGAAACTTGCTAAGGTTTTGGGTCTACCTCTGTGACTGAGTACAAGGGGGCAGATGTTTGTGCCTAGGCCTCTACTTGAAGAACTGCCAGCACCTTAATGTCTGACATTTTTTTTTTTGCCTGTACCTGGCATATTTATCTATCACTATACTCTCTAGTGTACCAGGTGATTCTGTGAAGAAGCATAGCACGATACTTTGATATCTGAAATAAAAGAGCCACATTTGATAAGCACTTCATTACCAGTTCAATGCAAGTGTAAGGTACCTTTTGAGATCACTCTACTTATAATGTATTGCAGGAGGAAGTCTTACGGGAGCAGTATTTAATCCAGCTTTGGCACTTTCACTGCACTTCCCATGTTTTGATGAAGCATTCTCTCAATTTTTTATAGTATACTGCCTGGCTCCTTCTTTAGGTGAGTATGTTTTTATTTAATGTCTGACAGATTACAGTATTTTAAAATATGATAAGGAATCTCATTTTCCAAAGTTAGATGAACACAAATAAGAAAATGAGAAAGGCAGTAAGCATCTGAAACATTTTAGGGTGTATCCTTTAAAAGTTTTTATCTTCAAAGAAACAAAATTATCTAAGGAAGGGCAATGGTTTTCAGGTGTGTTATCACTTAAGCAACCTAGCAATAATAAAGCAATTATAATAAATGATAATAATCTCCCTTTTTGCTAAAGGAATTTTTTAAATCAATTTGTGAGTTCCAGATAAAGTATCATGTAGTTCACTTAGCTCATTTTCCACAAGAACAATGAATATCTGTAGTAAATATAAATTAGCCACAGTATCCATTCTATTACTTCTGTCTGGATCAAAAATGCAAACTTTTATAAAGATGGGTTAAATCACACAAAAAAATAATATAGCAACTTTGCAGTATGTACTTCGTTATAAGTTACCAGCATTTCTTGATTTTGTCTAATCATACATCATAAGCCTGATTAAATGAGTATGAGGCTGCCTGGCCCTCTATTGCTTTACCTTTTCTTTTTCTGTTGTTGGTGTTGTCTGGTTTTTGTCATTTCTTTTCTATTGAAACAAACAAAATACAGGTAGAAGGGAACATCTGCAGAACCTGTCTGAACTGGCTTGATTCCTCCCCTTCACCATCTGTTTATCACATATTTCATATGCCCAGAGTATCTATAGGTCTAAATGTGAAGAAAAAATAAAACCTGCATTTTAATATTCTGGTAATACTGCTTCTCCTCCCAAACCACCCAGTTTCTGCAGATTAGTAATTTCTCTCTAAAGATAAAAAAAAAATGTTTAAAGATTTATTTGAAAGGCAGAGTTAGGGGGTGGATGGAGAGACAGAGGAAAAGACCTTCCATGTGCTGGTTCGCTCCCCAGATGGCCACAGCAGCAGAACTAAGCCAATCTGAAGCCAGCTCTCCCATGCAGGTGCAGGATCCCAAGGCTTTGGGCCACACTCTAACTCTCTGCAGCCATCAGCAGGGGACACAAACCAGTGCCCACATGGGACCTGGCATTCGAAAAGTGAAGATTTAACCATTAAGCCATGTGATACAGTTTTATAGACACTGGGATTCCTCCTACGCCTCCCACAACGCTCCCCCCATGGTGGATTCCTCCACCTTGCTGCATAACCACAGTTCAAGTTCAGTTGATAAAACACATTTTCAAACCCAAAGCATTTAATTACTTCTTTATAGAAAAAATATATTAGAAAAAAATATCACACGATAAAAGAAGAAAGGAAGGGCCAGTGGGTTAATCTATTACTTGTGACACTGGCATCCCATATCAACAGATTTCTATTTTGGCTACTCCACTTCCAATCCAGCTCCCTCTTGATACTACTGGGAAAGAGGACAAAGCACCCAGGCCCCTGTCACTCACATGAGAAACCAAGGTGGAGTTCCAGGTTCAGGGTATTGGCCTGGCCTGGCCCTGACCACCACAGCCATCTGGAGAGTGAAATCTCAAATGGAAGGTGGATGAGTGTGTGTGTCACTCTGTCAAATAAACAAACCTTTTTCAAAACATAAGGGGGAGAAAAAGGAAAAAATAACTCTTACAGAGTGGTGGGATGGGGAAATGAACTCTATATTCTCTTCACATTTGTGTGGTTCAAACAGGAAGTCAACACACACACACACACACGCAGACAACCTGATTGACAAGTCTGCTAATTCACTCCCCAAATGACTACAGCAGCCAGGCGTCAAGTAAAGCAAAGCCAGGAGCCAGGAATTCCATTTGGGTCTTCAATTGGGTGGCTGGGGCCCCAGATGAATCAATGAATTGGAAGACACATAGGTAGCATGACCCAACTACTCACTGGGCCATAAACCTACTCTCTTTTTCTAAATGCATCCAACAAAAAATTTCTGGTGGTTTAAACCTTTTTTGGTTTGAAGAAGTATGATAGCATAGTAGTTAAAGTCCTCTCCTTGCACGCTCCGGGATCCCGTATGGGCGCCAGTTCTAATCCTGGCAGCCCCGCTTCCCATCTAGCTCCTTGCTTGTGGCCTGGGAAAGCAGTCGAGGACTGCCCCAAAGCCTTGGGTTCCTCCATCTGTGTGGGAGACCTTGAGAAAGTTCCTGGCTTCTGGCTTCAGATGGGCGCAGCTCCAGCCATTGTGGACACTTGGGGAGTAAATCAACGCACGGAAGATCTTCCTGTCTCTCCTCCTCTTTGTATATCTGACTTTGCAATAAAAATACATAAATCTTTTTTAAAAAGTCACTGGTTATAGATTCATAGTTTTAGAATGTTAAGATAACTGAAAGCTAGCCAAATCTTAAGGTTTTCTATTGCCAAATAGCAATAAAATAATCCCTAATCTGGATGTGGCAAAAATTCACTTAGAATTTATTTGTTCTGGAAGCCTAGGTTATGGCATAGTAGTTAAAGCCACTATCTGCACTATCTACAACAGTATTCCTGAAGGATACCAATCCATGTTCCAACTGCTCTGCTTCTGATCCAGCTTCATGGTAATGGCCTGAGAAAAGCAGAATATGGCCCAAGTCCCTGGACCCCTGCCACCTGCATGGGAGACTTGAATGAAGCTCTGAGCCTGTCTGGCCTAGCCCCGATGGTTGCAGCCATCTGGAGAGCCAACTGGCAGTTGGATAGTCCATATAACACTTTTAAATACGTACATCATTTCTCTCTTTTTTGTTTTGAAGATTTAATTTATTTTTATTGGAAAGTCAGATATACAGAGAGGAGAAACAGAGAGGAAGATGTTCAGTCTGTTGATTCACTCCACTTTCTTTCTTTCTAAGATTTATTTATTTTTATTGGGAAGACAGATTTAGAGAAGGGGAGACAGATCTTCCATCCGCTGGTTTACTCCCAAATAGCTACAGTGGCTGGAGTTGAGCCAATCAGAAGCCAGGAGCCAGGAGCTTCTTCTGGATCTCCCAAGTGGGTGCAGGGTCCCTAAGGTTTTGTGCTACCCTTTACTAAAATTTTCTCAGGCCACAGGCAGGGAGCTGGATGGAAGGTGGAGGAGCCAAGACATGAACCAGCACCCATATGGGATCCCAGCATATGCAAGTCAAAGACTTTAGCCATTAGCTTATCAAACCTGGCCCAGTAAATCTTTTCCTTAAAAAGACTTATTTTTATTTGAAAGCCAAATTTACAGAGAAGAAACAGATCTTTCATCTGCTGTTTGATTCCTCAAATGGCTGCAACAACTGGAGCTCTTCTGGGTATCCACATGGGTGCAGAGGTCTAAGAACTTGAGCCATCCTCTGTTGCCCTCCCAGGCCACAGCAGGGAACTGGACTGGAGGGGTATCATCTGGGAGTAGAACCAGTACCCATATGGGATGCCAGTGGAGGATTTACCTGTAGAGCCACAGTGGCAGCCTTATAAACAAGTAAATCTTTTTAAAAATGTATTTTTTTAAAAGATTTATTAATTTCTATTGGAAAGTCAGATATACAAGAGAGGAGGAGAGACAGAGAGAAAGATCTTCCGTCCGATGATTCACTCCCCAAGTGACTGCAGTGGCCGATGCTATGCTGATCTGAAACCAGGATCCAGGAACTTCTTCCGGGTATCCCATGCGGGTGCAGGGTCCCAAAGCTTTGGGCTGTTCTCGACTGCTTTCCCAGGCCACAAGCAGGGAGCTAGATGGGAAGTGAAGCTATTGGATTAGAACTGACACCCACATGGGATCCCGGCACATTCAAGGTGAGGACTTAAGCAGCTATGACATACTGCCGGGCCCTAACAATATATTTTGAAAGTCAAAGATATACTGAGTTTTTTTTTTTTTTTTTTCATCTGCTGGCTCATTTCCCCAATCCAGTTTTCCCACATGGATGGTATAAGCCATCCTTTACTGCCTCCCAAGGTGTGTTAACAGGAAGATGGAATTGGAAGCAGAGCTGGGACTTGAATCCAGAGCTTAACTGCTCTGCCCAGTAACCCTGCCCCCACCCAGACCAGCCTAAACCCATTCTTAATCTGATTTACACTGATTTTGAATTTTAAGTATAAATATATCAAGAAAATAACCCAGTACATATTTCACTTTCAGGACAGTGCTTTGAGCCTTTGGCTCAGTCTTCCATCTCTATGTCACATTCAAAACTTAACATGTTAGATTTGTCTTGTGAATTTTTTTTTGTTTTCTTTTTATTTAGATTTGTCTTCTGTAGTCTCAGATATGAAGATTTAGTAATCAGTGAAATTTTAAATACATTTAAGACTTAAAATTTGAGTAGTTTACTGATACGTTCTATTTTAAGTAGTAAAAAACCATTAACATTGATAAAAGAATGAGATAAGAAAACAATGTAACACTTGAATATTTGAGGATTCCAAAGAAACTCAGAAATGCTCTATAGTGATTTCTTCGGGTACTTGGGACATGGAGGGACAGGAAGTTTTACCAACTTAGAGAAAAGCAGAGACCCAAGTTCAGGGTTTCTCACTCAGCAAGACCACAACGGACCCCAACTCTACGGACTGGTGGATAGCACAGTATGTAAAGCTACCACCTGCAGTGCTGGCATCCCATATGGTTGCCAACTGCTCCAGTTCTGATTCAGTTCCCTGCTAATGGTCCAGAAAAGGCATTAGGAAGATAGCCGAAACCTGGACTCCTCTGGCTGCCCACCTGGGAAACCCGGAAGAAGCTCCTGGCTTTGGCTTGGCCCAGCCCCGGCTGCTGCAGCCATCTGGGGAATGACCCAGTGTATTTCCCCCACTCTCTGTAAATATGTCTTTAAATAAATCAAATACATGTTTTTCAAAAATTTAATCTTTAGATTTCATTTGTCCTTTGGACTCACCATTTTGATCCTACTGATTTTATCAATACTGCCTTTAGGGATTCATGTTAAATTTAAAATATTTCATGTAGAATTTATATAATAAGCATAGCTCCCCAAATATCGGGGCATACATAAATGTGAATAATCTTAGGTTGCAGCTACTTGATCATTATGGTTTCCTTTAGGGATTGTCCTCATTTGACTCTGTTTTGTCTTTCAGGTATATTGTTAATGATTTTGATGTTCAGTTTTTTCCTTCCATGGCTGCACAACAACCAAACAACTAACAAAAAGGATTAACTGCTTTCAAAGGCAGAGACAAGGTTACATGACAGTCCACAGGTGATTTTTTTCACCTCATTTTCAAAGCTGCACTGGATTCATTGATGTTAACTTCCTTTGAGGAAGCTGTCTTAGTTTTCATCACTGGGATTTAAAAAAATTACTGTGAAAATGAAGTATCCTGTATCTCTTAGTTAAGACTTTTTTTTGAATGATGTAATAAATACTGCTAAAAAAAAATTAAAAAAGACTAACACAAAACTGAAGTGATGCTTGTTACCTTTGATAAAAAAAACAAGGTGAGAAGGAACAGAAAGGTAATAGATGATCCGAAAGAAACAATTTTATCAAATGCCACCAGAATGGCAAGATTTTCAACCAGAGTACAACCATTCAAAGCTCACAGAACTGACAGCATACTTTTCAGCCACCACCGTGCATGCTGATACTATCTGCAGTGCTATTGTTCAAAGCAAGATTGCTTTTGAGGTAATTACACATCCACTTAAACTCAAGATGTTTCTGAAATTTTAAATATCTAAAATGTTTTCTCAGACAACATAATGAGTTGTAGGAAAGTTCTATTCAATAGTACTAAAACAAAGCACTCATACAAAGTCAGGATTTAAGTTTCTCACATTCTCCATTTGATCCAACAGCTACCTTGTGAAGTAGGTTGGGCATGCATTTTTAATTTGTTTCACAGATAAAGAAGTCTAGCCTGTCAGGTGTTGCTGTTCTGTCCAAGATGGTTCAGTCTAATAACATCTACTTCAATATTTTTCTACTTCACTCGATAAATAATTCTTGGTTGTAATTATGGTCAAAGGAAAAGTAAAAGTTGTGAACCAACACAGAATACTCTGCAACATTAAACTAGTGGTTTTTGAAGTTTGAAGAACCTTCAGGTTTCCCTCTGTACGACAGGAAGCTCCTTTTATTATATGAAGTTTAAGGTTGTGTTTCTCCATAAGGAGAATTCCTCTATCACAATCTAAAGTTATTTAAAAAAAAAAAAAAAAAGAGGAAAAGGGGCCTGGTGCAATGACCTGACTGGCTAATCCTCCACCTCCAAGTGTCAGGATTACTTATGGGAACCAGTCCATGTCCTGGCTGCTCTACTTCCCATCAAGCTCCCTAATTATGGCCTGGGCAAAGCAATGGAGAATGACCCAAAGTCTTGGACTCTGCACAAACATGGGAGACCTGGAAGAAACTCCTGGCTCTTGGCTTCAGATTGACTCAGCTTCAGCAGTTGCTGCCACCTGGTAAGCAAACCAGCAGATGGAGAATCTTTCTGTCTCTCCTCTGTATATCTGCCTTTTCAATTAAAAAAAAAAAAAGGATATGTTCTGTTTCACTAATCATCAACCAACAGGTTATAAATATGCAGTCATTTAAATGTTGTTTGGCGATCAGTTTACAGTAAATATACAACTCAAAATACACTGTTACACTCTCCAACTACAAACCCCTTTCAATTTGAACCTCCAATAATCTTTTCCCCCATAAGGAAATTCTGGCCACAGATAGCTTTTCTTATCCCTCTTCAGTACCTTAAGCAGTTTCAATTGCTCAGCTGGTCCGTATACAGAAATGTATACACCACAGACTCTTTTGTTCCTCTCTCTTCATCACACTCACAGGGCTTAACCCCAGCTTGACTGAATCCAGTTACGCCTGCTCCAGGTCTCCATCTGTGCGGCACAAGGTCCGGGGTGTCGGTATACAGCTGTAAACTTTCTGCAAGCTAGTTTTAAGCACTTGTTTTACTCGGAATAATCCATCACTGTTAGAGTCTAGACAGGGACACTGTCATTTCACTACAGAAGCTGAGAAAGCCAGGTAGGTAGTCCTTCTGCATGTGCCAGCCTAGTACACAGAATCAATCAACTTTGAACTTTGAGCCGTGAGTCAGATATGGCAAGAATGAAGAAACCAGCCTACAAGCAGGGGAATCATAACATCTTACATAAACCACCCTGTATTCCTAATCATTTTACAAGCCTGGTTTATTTAACCTTACCTGTTGATTTTGTGAACTACAAGAAAGCACTCAAACATTTCTTTTTCCCTACCTATACTAGCCAGACATGCATTTATTTACAACAAGGATTCAGGCTGACACAGGTCACAGATTTATTAACATTAGTTGTCCCACTATCCTATTTGTACTATATGTTCTAAAGGTTTAAAATGTTGTTTGGAACATGTACTGGCTTTTTCTCATAATTGTGTTATCTGCTTACTGCTGCCAGTGGTATGCTTGATGCAACTACCCCTTTTTCCTTTTCTAATTTGCTGTGTGCCTAGAACCTGGACACTCAGTGCAGTCCATCAGAACAGTAAAATAGAGATTTTCAACAAGTGCCTTTAGGTCCTAAGAGAAACAGATGTCATGACCTCTACAATTAAAAAATAAGTTTCTTTCATCTGCTTGAAGGCAGAGTGCTAGAGATGTCCTCCATCTGCTGCCAGTCCACTCCTTCAAACACTGTGCAACAGCCAGGGAAGGCCAGGCTGAAGGCGGGGAGCAGGTTCACCTGGGACGCCCACACGGAGGGCTGGGGCCCCAGCGCTCAAGCCACCATCACTGCCTGCTAGCACACTCCAGCAGAAAGCTGGCCGCAATGCCCACTCTGCTCAGTGAATTCCAAAACTGTTTGTATTATTTGAGAGAAAAGGCTCCTATCTGCAGGTTTATTGCCCAAATATTTACCAAAGCCAGGGAGACCAAAGTTGGTAGCCAAAAAGCACGGTCTCCTACCTGGTTAGTAGCGACCCAAACACACACAATTCACCATCACCTGCTACTTCACACGCTACACATTAGTAAGAAGTTGGAATTAGAAGTAGAGCTGAGGGGCTGGCGTGATTACTCAACTGGCTACTCCAATGCAAGTGCTGGCATCCCATATGGGCACCAGTCTGTGCCCCTGGAAAAGCAGCGAAGGATGGCCCAAAACCTTGCACCCGCATGGGAGGCAAGCAGGGAGGCTCTTGACTCCTGGTTTCAGACTGGCTCGGCTCCAGGTATGGTGGCCATTAGGGGCAGGACCAGCAGATGGAAGATCTTTTTCTCTGTGTCTCTCCTTTGTGTAAATCTGTCTTTCCAATAAAAACAAATATATATTTTTTAAGATTTATTTTATTTTTTTATTGGAAAGGCAGATATACAGAGAGGAGAGACAGAGAGGAAGATCTTCCACCCGATGATTCACTCCCCAAGTGAGCGCAACAGCTGATGCTATGCTGGTCCAAAGCCAGGAGCCCCTTCCGGGTCTCCCACGCGGGTGCAGGGTCCCAAAGCCTTGGGGCCATCCTCGACTGCTTTCCTGGGCCACAGGCAGGGAGCTGGAAGGGAAGCGGGGCTGCCAGGATTAGAACCGGCGCCCATATGGGATCCTGGGCGTGCAAGGCGAGGACCTTAACCACTGCGCCATTGCGCTGGGCCTAAAACAAATATTTTTTAAAAGTGGACCTGAGACAGAAACCTAAACATTCTAACATGGGTGGTGGGTATTCCAACCAGCATCTTTTTTTTTTTTTTAATTTTTGAAGATTCATTTTATTTTTCATTGTAATATCAGATATACAAAGATGAAGAGAGAAAGAAAGGAAGATATTCCATCCGATGATTCACTCTCCAAGTGACCAAAGGCTACTGCTATGCCGATCCGAAGCCAGGAGTCTGGAGTTTCATCTGGGTCTCCCACACGGTTTAGGATCCCAAGGCATTGGGTGATCCTTGACGGCTTTCCCAGGTCACAAACACGGAGGTGGATGGGAAGCGGGACTGCCTGGACTAGAACTGGTGCCATGAGGGATCCTGGCACATTCAAGGCAAGCACTTTTGCCACTAGGCCACCCCGTGCCAGGACCCCAACCAACATCTTATGCACTAGGCTCAATACCTGCCGCTAAAACCCCATCAGTGAATATTTTTTAACATCAGCCAAGAGCCAGGACTGGGGTAGGCTGAAGCCAAGATCCCAGAACTCAACCAGATGTCCCACAGGGGTGGCAAGAACCTGAGCAGCTTCCAAAGGTATTATTGAGTTAGCAGGAAGCTGAACTGGATATATACCAGCATCACTATACAAATGCCTGTAACTGTGGGGCCTCAGTCAGGATCGTGCAGTTCCATCACAGGTGCTCAAGTACCTGAGCCACCTGTTGCCTTAGGATGTGCACAACAGTAAGCTGAAAGGAAAACAAAATAACTGGAACCCCATCTAAGCACTGTGATAGAGAATGCAGGAGTCCCAAGCAGCAGCTTAATTGACTGTTCCACACCTGTTCCTCCTCACTGCTTCGCTGATTTTAAAACATCTAGGTTCTTAGGGGACAGTGCGGTAGCTCAACAGCCCAATCTTCTGTCTGGGCATCGCATACATGAGCTGGTTCATGTCCTAGCCACTCCACTTTTGATCCAGCTCCCTGCTTACGTCCTGGGAAAACAGCAGAGAATGGCTCAAGTACTTGGGCCCCTGTACTCATGTTGGAGACCTGGAGGAAGCTCAAGGCTCCTAGTTCCAGGCTGTGGATCAGCCATTGCAGAGTAAACCAACAGACAGAAGATCGGTCTCTCCTCTCTGTAAATCTGCCTTCAAATAAAAATAAATAGGGCCTGGCGCGGTGGCGCAGTGGTTAAGGTCCTCGCCTTGCACACCCGGGATCCCATATGGGCGCCGGTTCTATCCCAGCAGCCCCGCCTCCCTTCCAGCTCCCTGCCTGTGGCCCAGGAAAGCAGTCGAGGATGGCCCAAAGCTTTGGGACCCTGCACTCACGTGGGAGACCTGGAAGAGGCTCCTGGCTTTGGATCGGCATAGCATTGGCTGTTGCGCTCACTTGGGGAGTGAATCATCGGGTGGAAGATCTTCCTCTCTGTCTCTCCTCTCTGTATATCCGCCTTTCCAATAAAAAAATAATAAAAATAAATCTTAAAAAAATTAATAAATAATTTAAAAAATAATTTGAGCTTCTTATGTATAGTCCTTCCAATATGTTATATTTATCACTTTTTTTTTCAAGATTTATTTATTTTTATTGGAAAGTCAGAAAAACAGAGAGGAGGAGAGAGAGAGAGAGAGAGAGAAAGAGAGAGAGAGAGAGAGAAAGGAAGATCTTCTGTCCGATGATTCACTCCCCAAATGACCACAATGGCTGGAGCTGCGCCGATCCAAAGCCAGAACCCAGGAACCTGGTCCAGGTCTCCCATGTGGGTGCAGGGTCTCAAGGCTTTGGGCCGTCCTCGACTGCTTTCCCAGGCCACAAGCAGGGAGCTCAATGGGAAGTGGAGATGCCAGGATTAGAACAGGCGCCCATATAGGATCCCAGTGTGTTCAGGGCGAGGACTTTAGTCGCTAGGCCACGCCGCCAGGCCCATAACTTCTTTCTTTTATGAAAGAAAAAATCACTATTGGTAATAAAATGAGATTTATATGAGAATTAGTAACAAGCTTACTGAAATCCTACAGAGAAATTGCCATCTAGGAGCCCAGCATAATGGCTCAGTGGCTAAATCCTCACCCTGCATGTGCTGGGATTCCATTTGAGCACTAGTTTATGTTCCAGCTGCTGCATTTCCATCCAGTGGGTGGAAGATGTTTCTCTCTGCCTCTCCTTCTCTCTGTAATTAGCCTTTCCAATAAAAATATAATCTTAAAAAAAATCGCCATCTGAATATCTGATATGGGTCAATGTTGTGGAGCAGTGCATTAAGCTGTCGTTTATAAAGCCAGCATCCCAAGTGGAGCACCAGTTCAAGCCCTGATTGCTCTACTTCCAACCCAGCTCCCCATTAATGTGCCTGGGAAGCAGTGGAAAACGGCCAAATCCTAGGTCTCAGACACTCATGTGAGAGTTCCTGGCTACTGGCTTTAGCCTGACCCACCCTTAGCCATTGTGGCTATTTGAGGACTGAACCAGGGAAATGAAAGTTGAAGAGTTATATCTCTTACTTTCAAATAAAAACAGTTCTTTGAAAATAAATAAAAAAGTAACTAGCACTGTGTCACTGTGAATTTAGCTACCACCTGCAATGCTGGTACATCACTGCTGGCTATTTCACTTTTTTTTTCTTTTAAGATTTATTGGAAAGTCAGATCTACATAGAGGAGGAGAGAAAGATCTTCCATCTGCTGGTTCACTCCCCAACTGTGTGCAATGGCTAGAGCTGAGTCAATCCAAAGCCAGGAGCCCAGGGAGCTTCTGGGTCCCACTTGGGTGCAGGGTCCCAAGGCTTTGGGCCATCCGTAACTGCTTTCTCAGGCCACATGTGGTAGGGAGCTGGACAGGAAGAGCAGCAAGGACACAAACCAGTGCCCATATGGGATCCCAGCAAATACAAGTCAAGGACTTAAGCCATTAGGCTACAGCTCCCAGGCTTGGCTGCTCCACTTCTAATTAAGCTCCCCGATAATACTCCTAGGAAAGCAGATGTTCCAAGTCCTTGGGCTCCTGCTAGCCACCTGGTAGACCCAGTTAGATTTACCCCTTAGCTTCAGTCTCACCTAGCTCCAACCATTACAGCCATTTGGTGAATTAGCCAGGAAACAGAAAAACTTTGTTTCTCCCTCTAACTTTTCTTTTCAAATAAAATAAAAATTAATCCTTGAGAAATAAAAATACAACTCAGCGGTGGATATATGGTACAACAGTAATGCTCCATGCACACTAGCATCCATACCAGTGATCAAGTCTCACCTCTGGTTTTTATCTAGCTTCCTGTTGATTTACACTCTGGGAGCCAGGGAGTAATGGCTCACATACCTGGGTCCCAGCCACCCATGAAGGAGATACAGATGGAGTTCCTGGCTGCCGGCTTTGGCGTGCCCCAGACCTGGCTATCGCCACCTTTCAGAGAGACAATCAACACATGGAAGATATCTGTCTGCCACTCTACCCTTTAAACAAATATTTTTCTTTTTAAATGGAAGAATTCAAATAGAATTTAATAAAAGCATTAAAGGTGCTGTTCAGATTGGCAGCAGAGAAATTTGGAAGCCCTCCATCCTGTCTACTACAGTCTGAACATTGAAAATGCCGTGGCAGGAGCCAGGATTTTCTTCTTTCTGGCTGCTGGCAGATAATAAGGCTGCAGGGTGTTTTGGAGCTCTCACTTAAGAAAACTCACAGTGGGCCCAGCACCATAGCGTAGTGGTTCAAGTTCTTGCCTTGCACACTCTGGGATCCCTTATGGGTGCCGGTTCTATGGGGCTCCCTGCTTGTGGCCTGGGAAAGCAGTTGAGGACAGTCCAATGCCTTGGGACTCTGCACGCGCGTGGGAGATCCAGACGAAGCTCCTGCCTCCTGGCTTCAGATCAGCGCAGCACTGGCCATTGTGGTCGGTGGGGAATGAGCTATCGGACACATGATCTTCCTCTCTGTCTTTCCTCTCTTTATATCTGACTTTGCAATAAAAATAAATAAATGTTAATAAAAAAAAAAACTCAGTGCAGTATCTGTATAATTTCAAATCTACTCTCTATATAACTTATTCTCCTCATCTGTAAAGTAGGACAATAGAAGTATCTATTCCTCATAAGCTCTTACATGAGAATAAACATTTATTCTATCAGTTAAGATGCCCTCACTGCATATTGGTGTCCCTGAAATAAGGGGTTCTGGCTCAAGCTTCTGACTCTACTTCCTATAGTAATACTAGTCCCTGGGAGGAAAAGAAGGTAGCCAGCAGTGACCCACATGGAAAACCTATATTAAGTTCCCGAGTCCCGGCTTTGGCCTGGCCCAGCTTCCTTAGTGCAATATTTGGGGACTGAGATAGCATTTAAAAACTCTCTAACAGTATAAAAAATATATTTAATAATACATGTAAAGGATCTAGGACAGAAGCTGGTACAGTTTCAGTAAGCTTCTATTTCCAAATGGTTCTTTGATTACTATGACACTCACAAATTTTAAGTCTGGTTGGAAAAAGGAAAATTATTTTCTTCAGTCCACTTTGAAGGACAAGGAAAAGCCAGACTGAGCCAAAGTGTGTTGGGCTGGACCTTACTCCTAACCAGGCAAACACTTCTGAATAGCTGGTTTAACCTGGTTTTTAAGGTCATATAATGATATCTACAGTCCAAGTGAAAAGCTATAATTACAGAGCTCGTTGCAATAGCCTAGCAATTAAAGTCCTCGCCTTGCACACATCTGGATCCCATATGGACAACGGTTCTAATCCCAGCAGTCCCACTTCCCATTCAGCTCCCTGCCTGTGGTCTGGGAAAGCAGTCGAGGATGGCCCAAACCTTTGGGACCCTGCACCTGCGTGGGAGAACCGGAAGAGGCTCCTGGCTTCAGGCTTTGGATCAGCACAGCTCTGGCTGCTGCAGTTACTTGCGGAGTGAATCAACAGATGGAGATTCTTCCTTTTTGTTTCTCCTCATTTCTGTATATCTGACTTCCCCCCAAAATAAATAAATCTTTAAAAAAATAAAACTATAATTACAAATTAACCATAAGATACCCAGCTATTTGTAGAACTAAAAATGGAAAGTTGATAAATTGAAGAAACAGAAATCCTTACCTTATTAAACACCTCCAGAAATTCCAACTGTGCGTTTTCTTTTTAATTTCATATTCATATTGCCAACAAAAGTAAAACCAACAGTTTTCCCCCTCCTCCTTTTTTCGCTATAGAAACATTTCTTACTAATGGATTTAGTCAAAAATGAGAGCACAATAATATAGAAAACCTAAATTTATTCGTTAAGCTATTATAAAGACAAACAATTATCATTTGAAGGACTTTGAGGTTTTATTCCCGTTGCACTTGTTCTGTTATAGAAAACTAACCTAGAGATTGGGAGCAGGACAGAACCTAAGAGATTATACGATGAGACACAGTGGAAAGAGCCAAAGCTCATCAGAAACACCTGCAGCAGTGACAGTGCACGTGGCTGGGACGGCCCCCCTAGGGATGCTCAATCAATCTGGGTCCCATCTCAGTAAGACAGTGAATGAACAGAGGAGGACTGCGCTGGGATCGGCGTCTTTCTTAAAAGTTATAAAGTTATCTTTGGGTCCCAAAGAGGCATATCTTAGCTTCAGTCTCTCCCTCTCACCCAGGCTACCTACACCTCCTAGCTCCTGTACATTTCACCATACAGGAAGGCTACCTTATAGACGATACATACAATGAAGGCAGAAATTAGACCTATTCAAAGGGTACCTAAACATGGAAATTTTGGGGATATGTGACAGGCCTTTAATACCCTCCTGGTTAAGTTAATTCACCTTTGTTAATAAAGGTCAAAGTTTCTTCTGCTGATAACAACTTGTTGTCTCCAGAAAGAACTGGTTCAAGTGAGTTTTAGAGAAGCAAAAAGATTTTCATCAACCCCACTGCATATTGGAGGAGGCACCAAGTTCTTTCCTTAGTTATAGGTAGAATCTGAAAAATAAAAGAATTATAATGTTTACAATTATAACAATAGCTATTACTTGGTAAATCTCATCAAAAAAATACCACAGAACTGAGACATAACAATCTGAGATGCTGGTGTCCCATATAGGCACAGGTTTGTGTCCCAGATGCTCCACTTCTGATCCAGGTCCCTGATGGCGAACCAGGAAAGCAATCAAAGATGGCCCAAGTCCCTGGGTTTGTGGACCCAAGTGGGAGACCCAGAAGAAGCTCCTGGCTCCCTGTTTCCACTCACCTCAGCTCTGGCTACTGCAGCCATTTGGGGAGTGAACCAGTGAATGGAAGTTCTTTCTTTCTCTCTTCCCAAGAAAAGAAATAAATCGTAATAATAATAATAATAAAGTATATGCCTTGTGGAAAGGCAACACAGCCAGTGTAAGTTAGTTACGATTCCATCATTAATGTGTCTTCCTCTTCACCTCTCCTAAATCACTGAGAAGTACAAGTTCCCTTCACTAGAAACTATTAGCGGTTACATAAACACTCCAATTACTTCCTGCTCATTCCTTAAAGGCACATACAATTTCAAATAATTAAAAATGCACAAAGACTGCCTGGAATTCAGGTCAATTATCCACAAGAATAAAGCACATCAATTTTATGAATAAAGTATTTCTCTGCCTCTGAGCTATTAACATTAAAAAAAAAAAATCAGTTCCTTAGAAAATCTGTAGCAATTTTACAGTTATTTCACCACTACAAAGGATCCTAAGAATCCTTGCCAGGGACCACAGTGACATCCCATCTACATAGAGACAAACCAAATTGGTTTCTCATAAATACTCTTAACATAGTGGCTGATATTCCCTTGAAAGTCTACTTTTCAAAAAGAAAGATGCCAAAGCATGAATATTCAAAAATCCTCTGTCCAGTAGCTCTTTCAATATAACAACTGTTATAACAATATACAACTGGTACTGAAGGGAAAACAAAATCAGCATGCTATGAAGAAGCTGATTACAAACGAGGAAAAGAAAATTCAGATTGAGCCCATGAATTAACAGTGAAGTTATTAACATCTAGAACTGAGAGCGATCAAAGCTGAAGTTAAAAGAGCTGCAGTGATATGAGTAACACTATTTTAGCAGAGCTGAGAGGATTTTACGCTGTCTGGGTCCCAATAACAAAATAAATACAGAAATAAGGAGTATTTGAGGGGAGAAACAGGAAGCACAGAAGTCCGAGAGGTTTTTCTCTGACAGCTCCACTGGAGGACTGAGAAGGAAGCACGGATCCACTATCATAAGCTACTACAAGTGGCAACCTGAAATTCACAAAGACAAAAATTTGGAAACCAAGTAGAACTTTAAAAGGCTGGTTTACAATATAAAATGAAACAGAGTATAACAATTAAAATTTTTGGCTGGGAAGCAAGATCCCATCGTTCAGAACTAAAATTTATGCCACAAGAAACCATGGAATTTTGAAATATTTACCCTAATAGAATAATGAAGAATCTCAGAATCTAACAGAATAACTATCCGATGATTCACTCCACAAGCAGCTACTACGGCCAGAGCTGTGCCTGATCCAAAGCCAGGAGTCAGGAGCTTCTCCAGGTCTCCCTTTGCGGGTATAGGGTCCCAAGACTTTAGGTCATCCTCAACTGCTTCCCAAGGGCACAAGCAGAGAGCTGGTTGGGAAGCAGGGCTACCTGGATTACTACTTGGATTACGTCCATCCAAGATCCCAGTGCATGCAAGGCGAGCACTTTAGCTGCTAAGAGACCATGCCGGGCCCACCTCATTAGTATTGAAAGCATAGAACAACTACAAGATTATGACTAAAGGATTGAATCTATTTTGGAATGACATCTACGTTCTCTCCATCTTGCAAAGCACTCAACTGCAACAAATCACCATTCTGTTTTCTAACATAGGCTTGACACCGTCAGTTATTCAAGTCAAAACACATAACTCTTACCATATTTAACCAAATACTTCATTTTTCAAATTATTTTTATTATTTTGCATGACGCATTTTTGTAGGTATACAGGTTCTCCCTTTCCCTTTCTCCCTCTGCATTTCCCCCATATTACTACAGTAGCATAGTGCTTCAGCAACAGCCATAAGCCTAATTGTATAGACAAAAGCAGAAAGTTTATGTTTTTTCTGGTATAAGGCAACATTCACAAAAATACAAATAGACATATAGGTAAAGATGTATATACATATATTCTCAGAGAAGGACTGTATAATGCAGTCCAGCATAGCAGCCAGTGAGGACATGTTCCTGTAAGCATCACCACTCCCTAATAAAAGGAGGACGTCTATATACTCTAATAAAGAACCTGGATGGCAACAACATTTCAAACACTGGAAGTCGGTAATTATTTAAAAAACAAAACAAAAAAACACTGCACAAGACAGGACACTGAAGTTAAGAAAGGGATAGTATTTTTTCAAGATTTATTTATTTTTGTTGGAAAGGCAGATCTACACAGAGAAGGAGACAGAATGATCTTCCATCTGCTGGTTTACTCCCCAAGTGGCTCCAGTGGCTGGAGCTCAGCTGATCAGAAGCCAAAGGTCAGGAGTTTCCTTTGCGACTCCCATGCAGGTGTAGAGTCCCAAGGCTTTGGGCCGTCCTAGACTACTTTCCCAGGCTACAAGCAGGGAGCTGGATGGGAAACAGGGCTGCCAGAATTAGAGCTGATGCACATATGGGATCCTAGCATCTGAAAGTCAAGGATTTAGCCACTGAGCCATTGCACTGGGCCTGGGGATAATTTAACAATGTGAAAATCTTACAGCTTATATAGGAAGGACCACTGGGCTGGGATTATAGTATAGTGGGGGTAAAGTTGCTGCCTATCTTGTCACTGGTTCAGGCCCTAGTTGCTCCACTTCAGATCCTGCTCCCACTAACGGCCTGGAAAAGCAGCAGAGGATGGCCCAAGCATCTGAGCCCTTGTCTGCATATCAGAGACCTGGATGAAGCTCTCAGCTTCCTCTTGGCTCACCCACGGCTGTTGTCACCAAGTCGTGAAACTCTCTCTGCTCCTCTTTCCCACTTTATAACTCTGATGTTAAAATAAACAAATCTTAAGGACTACTAGGATTACCAGTCCAGCCATCTGATAGGAACAAGATACAGGATTTTTCAGCTAATGTAACATATAGTTTAATATTTAACCTGGCAAATGGTAATGTATTTCTCACAGTAGGTAGCAAGTAAGAACAAACTTGAAGGACAGTTCAAGGGAATGAGTCAGAGGAGAGAAAGGTAGCAGAGGCTTATGCTAGGCATGAAAAGCAGGCAGGCAACAATATGCAGAGTAATGGCTCCTGGACTGCAGACTCATTTAGCAATTTAGCCTTGAACACTTAAGTATCCACAACCATAGTACCCCATTAGTCTTTTTCTTTTATCGCAAAGTCAGATATACAGAGAGGAGGAGAGACAGAGAGGAAGATCTTCTATCCAATGATTCACTCCACAAGCAGCTACTACGGCCAGAGCTGTGCCTGATCCAAAGCCAGGAGTCAGGAGCTTCTCCAGGTCTCCCTTTGCGGGTATAGGGTCCCAAGACTTTAGGTCATCCTCAACTGCTTCCCAAGGGCACAAGCAGAGAGCTGGTTGGGAAGCAGGGCTACCTGGATTACTACTTGGATTACGTCCATCCAAGATCCCAGTGCATGCAAGGCGAGCACTTTAGCTGCTAAGAGACCATGCCGGGCCCACCTCATTAGTATTGAAAGCATAGAACAACTACAAGATTATGACTAAAGGATTGAATCTATTTTGGAATGACATCTACGTTCTCTCCATCTTGCAAAGCACTCAACTGCAACAAATCACCATTCTGTTTTCTAACACAGGCTTCAAACTTCACAAGTGAGAAGAGCAGAAGCAGGAGACCCCTGCGGCAGGATTTCAGGATCTCTCCTACCCGAGCCTGCAAGGAGAGCTCCAATGCACAATAAATGACTAACATAAAACTGCGGACAGGTAAGCATCTCACTCTTCCTCGTAGCCCCATGCCTAGAGCAATGTGTGGCTTCTTATAAGTGTACACTGGTCAGACCATCATCATGTCTGCAGACTTTTACTTCTTAAGGGTAAAAACATAATTTGTAATAATTTGAGGAATGGCTAACAATCCTTTCCAAAACTGCTAACTACATAGAACTCTCTTGAATTATGAAAAGAAAAATTGGTCATTTCAAATGATTTTCCTGTTCAGTTATGAGAAAACAAAACTGCTCACCTTACAGCAGCATAAGCCATTTTCAGTGATCAACATCTGCATCTTCAAACTGCCCAGCCACGGTCGGTGCCGTGTCCACCTCCATTCCATCTGCACAAAAGAAAACACTGCTAAGCAACACTGCACTTCACACAGCCAAAGTCTAGTTTTCACCAGAAGGAAGCAGGTACCCTCTGCTGGCTTGCACTGCTTTTCTTCTTTGTTTTTTCAACTAAACATCACGCAACAAAATAGCAAAACTGATTTAAGTAGATTTCTGCCAAGTAAAAATTTTTAAATTTTGACACTAAAGAATTCTAGGTAGTTAATTTCAACAGTTCATGCTTCACAGTCTCTGCTAAGAATGTGCTGTCATTGGGCCCAGTGAAGTAGCCTAGTGCCTAAGGTCCTTTCTTAGTGTGCATCGGCATCCCATGTGGGCACCTGTTCATGTCCCAGCTGCCCCACTTCCCTTCCGGTTCCCTGCCTGTGGCCTTGGAAAGCAGTTAAGGATGGTCCAATGCCTTGGGACACTGCACCCTTGTGGAGACCTGGAAGAGGCTCTGGGCTCCTGGCTTTAGACTGGCTCAGCTCCAGCCGTTGAAGACAATTGTGGAATGAATCAACTGATGGAAGATTTTTCTATCTGTCTCTCCTCCTCTCTGTAAATCTGACTTTTCAATAAAAATAAATAAATCTTTCAAAAAACAAACTAATAAAGTAAGGTACTAGCAAATTTAAAACATTCAAAAAATTAAAGGGCAGAATGCCAGCACTGTGAGGTAGCAGATAAAACCCACTGCTTCTAACACTCACACCCCGTATCAGAGTGCCAATTCCAGTCCTGGCTACTCTGCCTCTGAACCAGCTCTGCTCATGTGACTGGGCAGGCAGCAGAAGATGAACTGAGGACTGGGGCTGAGATGGGAGACCCAGATGGAGTTCTTGGTTCGTAGGTGCAGATTGGTTCAGCCTTGGCTTCTGTGGCCATTTGAAGATTACATAGTGGATAGAAGATTCTCTCTCTCTCTCAAACATATAAATAGGAAGCATATCCTACATTAACTAAAAACTCAAAATGAAATAGCAAAGCTGCCACCTGCAACATGAGCACCCATATGGGCCCTGGTTTGATTCCAGCTGTTCCACTTTCCGTTAGCTCCTTGCTGATGTACCTGGGAAAACAGCAGACGATGGCCAAAGTGTTTGGGGTCCTTGACACCCATGTGGGAGACAGGGATGAAGATCTTGGTTCCTGGTTTCATCCTGGCCAATCTATACAACTGTGTCCACTTGAAGAGTAAACCAATGGATGGAAGAGCTCTCTCTCTTTACTTTTTTTTTTTAAAGATTTATTTTTATTATTTTTTATTGGAAAGGCGGATATACAGAGAGGAGAGACAGAGAGGAAGATCTTCCATCCCATGATTCACTCCCCAAGTGAGCACAACGGCCGATGCTATGCCGATCCGAAGCCAGGAGCCTCTTCCGGGTCTCCCACGCGGGTGCAGGGTCCCAAAGCTTTGGGCCGTCCTCAACTGCCTTCCCGGGCCACAAGTAGGGAGCTGGAAGGGAAGCGGGGCTGCCAGGATTAGAACCGGCGCCCATATGGGATCCTGGGCGTGCAAGGCGAGGACCTTAACCACTGCGCCACCGTGCCGGGCACTCTCTCTTTACTTTTAACTCTGACTTTCAGATAAATAAATAATTCTTTAAAAAAAAAAAAAAAAACAGAAAAGGAGGCTTCTGTGAGCAACACCTGCACTCCTCAGGTCTTTACTCTGCTGGAGTCCCTCTTCCTATCCTGCATCTGAGAAAGAGGGACTGGTGGGCAAGACACCCCGGAGCAGAGGGGATGCCCCCTGTGCCAGCTACCACAGGCCTAGTGTGGGTGAAGGGCCTCAGCCTCAGGTCCAGATGGCCTTCATTCTTTGTGGAGCAGACGGAAGCTCCAAAGAGGCAGCTTCACATAAAATCAAGAACAACATTCTAACAAAGCTATCCAATCACAGAAAGACTACAACCAAACAGTGAGCGGCACATCAGCACTCCTGAGCAGGAACGGAGGGTGCTGCGGCCCTTGTTATGCCCCACAGGGAAGGCTAGCCTGGGCTTGGTGGCTAGATGAGGAAAAGTTCTCCCAGCCTGAGGCGTTCTCATTTCATTGCTGAGCGGCTCTCAGAACCCGGCTCTCGACTGACACCTAGAGGCTTACTTGTAGACAAGACAGTATTAATGCAAACCTGTAGGTCAGAATGCAAAAAGGGCCACTCACCTTCATAATCTCTTATTGAATCTTCTGTCCGAACTCCAGCCATATTATACTGGCTACTCACAGACTGAGAAAGCATTCCTTCTAATCTCTCCAACGTGGCTTGGCCTTCTGCTGTCAAATGTGACAATCCTTCTTCATAGGTATAAAACGTAGGAATATCCCCCTGTCCTTGTTCTGAACACACAAAAAAACTCATCAGCTACCACATAAGAATCAAAATAACACATTGATACTCAACAACGCATTTGCCAAAGATGTGAGAACACTGAACCGGGTTTCCAGGGAATTACTAATCCTTTCAACATTCACTAGAAAAGGGATTTTTTGAGGATAGATATACAGGATGAAAAAGATCCCAAGAGTAAGCAGCAATTGCCGAAGAATCTCATGTCCATGGACTACAAGGAAAACACAGCGCTCCTAGCGCCAGGGCATCCTGTGTGACCCCAGGGTGGGAACTGACAGGTGAGTACAAATCTGTTTGATATTAATCGGTACTGAATGCTTCTCCTGATCAAAACACATGTTCCCTTTGTTAAAAAAAATAAAGAAAAATAATTTTTTAATTTCAGAAAGAGAAAATATTTATGCAAGTAGAAAACAATCTTTGAGAAGAATTTCAACTAGGAAATAGCTACACAAGGAGTATCACGTACAATACCACTGGAGGAAAAAAACAACAACAGCAGTGAGAGAATGAAGATGGCAGAATAGGGTAAGGACACGTTGTAAAAGACCAAGAAACATTAGCCAGTATGAAGCAGCAAGGGCACATTCTAAGAAACAGAACAACAGCAGAGGGGCACCTGGAGACTGACAGACACAGGAAAGCAGTGGACACAATGGTGTGGTGTTGCAGTGACTGATACTCCAGCGGCATTCAGCTAATGGCGATCTGAACTTCACCAGCAACAAGGTGGGAAGGGATGTTCACCAGGAGCTCAAGAGGTGAATCCAAAGAGCTGCTCGTCCTGCTGGTTTGCTTCATTTGACCAGGAGCAGACAGAGCAGCAGGTCCCAGACGGGCAGTGCAAGAACAGGGTGGATTTCACAACCCAGTCTGCCCCCTAGAGTCGTATTGGGCACAGTTCTGTGTAAGGAGGCAAGGGCTATAGACAGGACTGCACATGCACTGAGCGGGAGTAAACTCATTTCTGGCTCAGTGAACTACAACAACATGGAGTCCTACAATTTCCGCCCAAGATAGGTCCAGGTAGCACCAGACTTGACTGACAGCAGATTAAGAACTCTAGTGGTGGGGCCTGGCGCTATAACATAGTGGTTAAGGTCCTCACCTTGTACACCCCAGGATCCCATATGGGCGCTGGATCTAATCCCAACGGCCTCACTTCCCATCCAGCTCCCTGCCTGTGGCCTGGGAATGCAGTTGAAGACGGCCCAAGATTTTGGGACCTTGCACCTGCATGGCAGACCTGGAGGAGGCTCCTGGCTTTCGGATTGGCTCAGCTCCAGCCCTTGTGGCTGCCTGGGGAGTGAACCATCGGATGGAAGATCTTCCTCCCTCTAGTAGTGGCACATCAGATGTCATTTTGTAATGGTGAGGCAAAGAATTTAAGACTGCAGGGACAACTGTGAGCTGCGCATGTGCTGAGCTTTGAGCAAACCCACTGAGTTCAGTGCACTGCAATAGTCCCACAGGAAAATAATACTGACTTTGGCACTGCACAGGTCAAAATAAATCCATCCGTGTAGCCCTAATATCTAGCAGCTAACAAGTTCCGGCAAGATCAGCACCACCAACAACCTAGCTACATAGGATACCTGGTGTCTCCCTAATCCTGGGACCTGCTCCAACCGGAAGTGGGAGAAAGGCTGCAGAGACCATGGTGGAAATCTAACATAAGAAGTCAGACCTGGAACTTGCTGGAGGGAGTTGCACAATTGGCTTCAAACAGAGCCATGTACCAACTGCAGTAAGTAAAATCGAACTGTAGACCTGTGGGTGACACAGCTTAGAAACCTGCCCCAAGAAAACTGCTTCCCAGAAGTACATTGACCAAGAGCAAAAGAAGAGACAAAGGCACAATGAATATTACTGAAGACTCCCCTGCAAAGGAGCAGAAACCCTTTACCATCCCCTGAGTTAACTGAGGAAGACATTGAGAAAATGAGGGATAAACTTGTTACAAAGCTTCTTAACAACAACGAGAAGCATGTAAAGCTGGAGTTTAAGAATTTCAAGGAATACGTTACACTGGAAATGAATCAAATGAAAGCTAATATATTAGAAATGAAGAATACAGTGGAGCAAATTAAAAGTACAATGGAGGGCCTGGCACAATAGCGTAATGGTTAAAGGTCCTCAGCTTGAATCCGCTGGGATCCCATACGAGTGCAGTTCTGATCCCAGCAGCTCCACTTCCCATCCAGCTCCCAGCTAGTAGCCTGGGAAAGTAGTCTAGGACGGCCCAAAGCCTTGGGACTCTGCACCCGCATGGGAGACCCAGAAAGAGTTCCTGGCTCCTAGCTTTGGCACCAGCTGTTGTGGCCATTTGGGGAGTGAATCATCAGACAGAAGATCTTCCTCTCTGTCTCTCTTCCTGTCTGTACATTTGCTTTTCCAATAAAATAAACAAATCTTAAAAAAAAAAAAAAAGTACAATGAAGAGTCTCCAAAATACAATGAAGGAGGCAGAAGAAAGAATCTCAGAATTGGAAGATATTTCCTATCACCAGGGGGAAATAAACAAAAAGCTGCAAGGAGAGATGTGTCAAATAAAAAAAGTATTTAAGAATTGAAAGACACTATTAAAAGGCCAAATATAAGAGTTATGGGACTCCGAAAAGGTGCAGAAAGAGAAACTGGGATTAAAAGTGCATTCAATGAAATAACAAGAGAAAATTTCCTTCATTTAGAGAAAGAATTGGGAAACACCCAGGAGGGGGACAGAATTTCCAACAGGCTTGACCAAAAGCAATCTTCACCATGACACATGATAATCAAGCTCTCCTCAGGAAAAGATCCTTAAATGTGCACGTGAAAACTATCAACTGACATATAAAGGAATCCCAATTAAACTCACAAGAGACATCTCATAAAAAACTCTACAGGCAAGAAGAGAATGGAGTGACATATTCCAGATTCTAAAAACAAAAAATTGTCGACCTAGGATAAAGTACCCAGCAAAGTTTTCCTTTATCTTTGAAAATGAAATAAAATTCTTCCACAGTAAAGAAAAGTTAAAAGACTATGCCTTTTCCAAACCTGCCCTACAGATGATACTTCGAGATGTTCTTTTTACAGAGAAAAAGAATAGAGGCCACCAAAACCAAAGGCAAATGCGAAGAACATCTCAGTAGAATAATAGAAGACTAAATCAATGAACAACCTATTGTTAAAATGACAGAACAAAATTACTACCTATTTGTATTAACCCTGAATATAAACAGCTTAACCTCATCAATCAAACATCACAGATTAGTAGACTGGATTAAAATAACAAAACCCATCTATTTGTTGCCTACAAAATACATATCTCACCAACAAAGATCAGCGAAAACTATATCTCATGGATTTTATTAGTTTCATCTCTTTAATACTCTTTCCAATTAAATTCTTCAATGACTCATAAATCACACAGAAGCATCAGTTTCTTCAAGGTTCTTGATTTTCTTGTTTATTTCTTCAGCGACACATTAGTCATTCAGTAGCATGTTGTTTAACTTCATGGTGTTATTAATTTATTTTTTTCCTGTTTTTTTCTTTTTTTGTGGCTTTTCATTTAAGGGATGTATAGTACTGTGTAATGGAGACTGTCATATCCAGATGTGAGGATACAATGCAGCTTGCATCTCTACTTCCACACCAAAGATGCACGTCCAATGCAACTGTTTACGATGTAAACACTGGGATGCTGGACTCTGCCATTGTCCATGCCCACAATGATGGACATACGACTGTTTATACTATAAAGAAGAATTATACTATAGTAATAATATAGGGGAACTCAGTGAAGGGGGAGGGAAATGGGGTAAGGGGTTTGGGAAACCCCAGGGCCTGTGGAACTGTATCATAAAATGATAGTAATAATTAAAAAAAAGAAAAAGAAAAAAAAAAAAAAAAAACGGCATATAGCTCAAAAGTTGCAAGACTCTGTCAAGCTAATTACATTCTAACTCAGAAAGGAATTATTCTTAAATGGAGTGTGGCTCCTCCAGAAAAATGAAATGATTTTGGCAGTGAATTTCTGAGGTACATACCAAATGTAAAAAAACTATAATCCCCTGCCCATAGTACACATAAATGCCCAGGATGAAACACTAAAGCAGACAAATACTTTTAAAAATCTGTGTCACTAACCATGTGCTTCCACATCATATTCCTCTCCATCATAATCATCCGAATCTTCATCCTCAGGATCTGGATGCAAGGCCTGACATTCACACATGGCAGTGAACATGGCTTCCACTGCACAAGAACATAAAATGTAACTAGTATCTTTGAACACTCAATTTCAAGGTAGAAAACCACAAGTGCCAAGAAATGCAGGGGATACACAAGAAGTAAATAGGATAACATTTACAAAACCTGCCAGAATCCAATTAGGACTAATTCTGAAAGTGCCTGAGGCAATAGGCAAGTTACAAAAACCAACATCCATTCTGAGATATTACTGAGATCTACCTCTTCATGCCTGGTTGGATTTTCTGAAAAGGGAACACTGTCCTTGTCAGACTGCTGCTACCAGGGAGATGTCCCTCTCAAATGATAGGTTCTTACTGGCTATCGTGACATCTTCCACTTTGGAACTGTTCAAGACTCCTTTGCCATTCAGCCATCAGAGGAGATGAACCACCAAAAGCATCAATCAATAAAACAAACCAATTTAAAAAATTAATCCCCATTCACAAAACATAGTAACGTGGTAACTACAGTATGCAAACAGGTTGCCTGGTCCTCAGTTACGAGTGCTAAAAACAGAAAGCAACAAGACTAAAGGGATGTGGGAAAGATGCCTGTGTGTGTAAGAAAGAGAACACAGAGTTGGGGAAGACACACAGAACACTCACATGCTGATTTATCACTAGGTACAAATCTAAACTCAGAAATAGGATCAGCATCATCATCATCACTGTCTTCCTCTTCTTCACCAGTAAGTTCTTTTGATTCTTCTGAAAAAAAAAAAAATTAAGATACTTTTTAAAATGCCATGCCTTTGACTTAAAAAAATAAGCTAGAGGCACCCTCTCTCGTGATGACCATTAGGATCACTCCAGAAACCCCTCAAAACAAACAAACATACAAAAAACCTAGAACAGACAGACAAGGAAAGCTTAGAATCAGACAGGAAATGGTCAGCGGGGATTCACTCATACCTCACTAGGTGGGACACAAAGATTAGTTAGGCCTCACTGGGGTGTTGGGGATTTCTCTGCACACCTCTCCTAAAAAAATATTCTGTACCTAAGCTGATGACACATGTCTGGCTAGAGTTATAAGCCAGTTTAGACCACCGGAAAAACAACCAAGTTCAGCAAAATCATGCTTCAACACTACAAACAGCTAAATACTAAAATTAAAATCGACACGAGGGCCCGGCGGCGTGGCCTAGCAGCTAAAGTCCTCGCCTTGAACACGCCAGGATCCCATATGGGCACCAGTTCTAATCCTGGCAGCTCCACTTCCCATCCAGCTCCCTGCCTGTGGCCTGGGAAGGCAGTCAAGGACGGCCCAAAGCCTTGGGACCCTGCACCCACGTGGGAGACCTGGAAGAAGTTCCTGGATCCTGGCTTCGGATCGGCATAGCATTGGCCATTGTGCTCACTTGAGAAGTGAACCACTGGACGGAACATCTTCCTCTCTGTCTCTCCTCCTCTCTGTATATCCACCTTTCCAATAAAAATAAATAAATCTTAAAAAAAAATTATTTTTACTGGAAAGGCTGATTTAGAGAGAAGGAGAAACAGAGAGAAACACCTTGCATATGCTGGTTCATTTCTCAAATGGCTGCAATGGCTGAAGCTGATCCAATCCGAAGCCAGGAGACAGGAGCTTTTTCTGGGTCTGCCATGTGAGTGCAGGGTCCTAAGGCTCTGGGCCATCCTCGAATGCATTTCCAGGCCACAAGCATGGAGCTGGATGGAAAGCAGAGCAGCCCGGACACAAACCAGTGCCCATATAGGATCCCGGTGTGTGCAAGGCAAGGATTTAGCCACAGTGCAGGGTCCTAATCACATCAATTTCAAGAAATAATCAGGTAGAGTATACATTTAAAATAAGCACCCCAAATCACTTTGAATCATTATTTCCTATTTTGGTGATTTTGATATCTGAATTGTCAACAAGCTCCCCAGATATTTCTTTTGGTTTTTTTTTTTTTTCACTCTTACAGCTTAGTTTTCAGCGACATTTACTGGATTTTGAAAGCAGTGACAGGTACATAGGTAATCAAAGTATAGAGCTTGTAGGCAAATCTTCATCCTCATTATGTTTTCTGGACAAGCTCACATGGATGTGGTATGGGAAGTTCCTCATTCCCTTGGCCTATGGCTTTATTCAGTCTGATATCATTGCACCATTAGGAGTCCCCATCTTTCAATGATAAAATACCGGATCTCTGAATGCCTGAGGAGCCTGCTTCTTAAAGCCCACTCCATGGATGCATCTGTGAATGTTGGTGGTGTATGCCCATGTTACCACCTCACTGATAGTAGAACAGCCTTTCTCCTTTTCTTCTCACGACCCTTCTTTGCGGGAACCATCCTGCAGGGCCCGAGCTGGAGAGGAAAAAGCTCTCCAGGTATTTCTAACATGCCGTCAGGTTTCAGAACCAGATACTAGGGACCAGTGCTGTGGTGCAGCACACTAAGCTTCCAGCTGTAACATCAACACTGCATATGATCGTTACTTGGAGTCCCGGTGGCTCCACTTCTGGTCCAGCTCCCTGCTAACGGCCTGAGACAGCAGTGGAGGCGGCTCAATTCCTTCACTCTCTGAGCCCACAAGAGAAACCTCCACGAAGCTTCTGGCTCTGGGTTGACATAATTCCAGCTGTTACCACCATGTTGGGAGTGAATCAATGGAGAGAAGATTTTTCTTCCTTTCTTCTTTCTGTGTAACTCTTTCAAATAAAATGAATAAATCTTAAAAAAAAAAAAAAAGGACCAGATACTTGCACAAACCCCTAACTTTTTGGATGCAAATTAAGTGAGAAAAATGAAAATGACCTGCTTGACATGAGCAGCATTTTCCTTAGTCAGTGCTTCTCTAGCCCTCTGTTCTACCTGATAAGCACCTTTGCCCAAAAACAAATGTTGGACACTATTTAGGGATAGCTCACACAGAACAGACTTTATATTTCCAGGAAGGAATAAATGCTTTAAGCTAAATATAAGTTATAAAATCACAGATGCATTTACCAAATGGAGAGGGAACTTCATGAACTTATTAGGAACTTACTAGGAATAGGAAGTCTTAGTAGATTCACACAGGGTCAGTCTGTTTCAAAAGCTTTTTCAAATTTCACTAATTTTATTTTATCTATCTGTGAACTCGTCTGAATAGCAAGAGCTTGAAATCTTGTAACAAAAATATTTTCTAGCAGCTGTGTCAAGTCATTACCACTCAATGAGGCAGGGCTTGCCAGTCCCCAAAATCAGTAAAAATTTAGTGTCACAGCTGAATAGAAATGATCATATTAGGTCTCGAACCATCATTAACATTCTCATCCGAAGGCACAATGGCTGGATAAGCAGATACCTGTGATTACTTCTTTTACACGATTTCAAAAAAAAGCAACTGATTATTTTAAAAACAAACAGCCATCAGATTTTCATGAATCTTTATAGATATGTTCAACAGCAATACTTGGGAATTTTGTAACCCTGGATTTCTTGAGAAATCCTTGCACCACTGACACTTGAACTGGACAATTATCTGTTGGAGGAAAGTTGACCTGGACATTACAGGACATGCAGGATGCTAAAAAGCATCACTGGTATCTACCTCCTAGATGCGAGTAGCATACTGACCCAACTGAATCAAAAGGAGATTTACCGAGTGAAGAGTGAGTGGGATTACATGACCCTCTCCCCGCCACACACATATTCCCTTCTGAGAGACATCACTGCAGCAAGACAATTTTTTTTTTAAAGATTTATTTTTATTATTTTTTTATTCGAAAGGTGGATATACAGAGAGGAGAGACAGAGAGGAAGATCTTCCGTCCGATGATTCACTCCCCAAGTGAGCGCAACGGGCAGATACTATGCCGATCCAAAGCCAGGAGCTTCTTCTGGGTCTCCCACGTGGGTGCAGGGTCCCAAAGCTTTGGGCCATCCTTGACTGCTTTCCCAGGCCACAGGCAGGGGCTGGAAGGGAAGCAGGGCTGCCGGGATAGAACCGGTGCCCATATGGGATCCCGGGCGTGCAAGGTGAGGACCTTAACCACTTGCGCCACCGCGCCGGGCCCAGCAAGACAATTTTATCTTAAATTCGTGGAAGCATAAAAACACACTGTTTCAAGACTCTAAAAGTGCCAATGCAAAGAGAAAGCGAAAACAAACAAACATTAGGGTCCAACACAGTGGCCTAGTGGCTTAAGTCCTCACCTTGAATGCACTGGGATCCCATATGCACACCGGTTCTAATCCCGGTGACCCTGCTTCCCATCCAGCTCCCTATTGTGGCCTGGGAAAGCAGTGGAGCACAGATCAAAGCCTTGGGATCCGGTACCTGCGTGGGAGACCCAAAGAGGCTCCTGGCTTCAGATTGGCGCAGCTCTAGCCATTGCAGCCACTTGGGGTGTGAATCATCTGACTGAAGATCTTCCTTTCTATCTCTCCTCCTGTCTGTGTATCTGACTTTCCAACAAAAATAAACAAATCTTAAAAAAAAAAAAAAAACCCAAACATTAAAATCCAAAAGAAAAAGAGCAGAAAATACACATCCATAGTAACAGAACGACTATATGTGCAAAAATACGAAAAAAAACATGATCATAAAACTTTCAAAGCCAAATTATTTTACTGACCAAAATTTTGCTTCATCAATGCTATCCAAAGTAAGTCAACAATTTCAGTATTACATTGTCAGAACTTGCTTCTTAAAATACACTCTGCTACCAAATAAAGCAATATGTTAATTTATAAAAAACCTACCTTCAAATTTGGCATTTACCATGACATATAAATGCTCCTGGGGATAGGCATTTGGGTCCCTGGACACCGCATGTAAACTAATGGTGGGGTATTCCAGTGAGAATCCTAATCCAGAACCGTCTAACCAAGACAAGCGGCTGAAAAACATGTAAGAGTAAATTAGTTTCAGATATTAAAGCTCAATCTAATACCTCAAAGTTTATTTAGGCTCAGCATGGCAATTCTTATTAATACCAATAATTCAAACTTACTGTTTAGCAATATCCCTAAAATAAGAAATTCAAGAGCTGGAATAAAATTTTAAGTCTTATTCTGTGGGCCAGCATTGTGGCATAGGGAGTAAAACTAATGCCTATAATGAAACATTTCATATATTCTATCGCTTCCTCTTCCAATCCAGCTCCCTGCTAACGGCCTGCGAAAAGCAGTAGAGGGTGGCCCAAATGTCTGTGTCCCTGCTACCCACGAGGCAGACCCCTGAAGGAAGGTCTTGGCTTCAGAATGGCCATTGCTGCCGTCTGGGAACTGAATCAGCAGACGGAAGATCTCCGTCTCACACTCATTCTCTGTAACTCCAATTTTCACATAAAAATTTATTTATTTAAAAACAAAACACTATTCTGCACCTAGCATGACAGCTCAATGGCTAAATCCTCACTTTGAAGATCCAGAATCCCATTTGGGTGCCAGTTCTTGTCCCAGCTGCTCAATTTCCTATCCAGTTCCTAGTTTATGGCCTGGGAAGACAGCAGAGGATGGTCAAAGCCATGGGATCCTGTACTTGCATGGAAGACCCAGAAGAAGCTCCTGGCTCTTCGTCAGTTCAGTTGTGGTCCTTGAGGCCACTTGGGGAATGAATCAGTGGATGGAAGATCCTCTATCCTTCTGTCTGTAAATCTGATCTACCTTTCTAAAAAAAAAAAAAAAAGGGGGGTGGCCAGCATAGTAGCCTAGCATCTCCAGTCCTCACCTTGCACAAGCTGGGATCCCATACGAGTGCTAGTTTGTATCCTGGTAGCCCTGCTTCCCATCCAGCTCCCTGCCTGTGGCCTGGGAAAGCAGTCGAGGACAGCCCAAAGCTTTGGGACCCTGCACCTGCGTGGGAGAGCCAGAAGAGGTTCCAGGCTCCTGATTTTGTATGAGCTCAGCTCCGGCTGCTGCTGTCACTTGGGGAGTGAATCATCAGACAGAAGATCTTCCTCTCTGTCTCTTCTCCTGTATATATCTGACTTTCCAGTAAAAATAAACAAAACAAAAAGACAGCATGGGGGAAGCTGTTATAAACTGCCATTTAGGATGCCTGCACCCCATATCAGAGCACCTGGTTGAAGCCCAACTACTCCTGATTCTGAGACAGCTTCCTGCTAAGCCACACACTGGAGGAAACAATGGATGGGTTCCTGCAGTGTACAAGGGGACATCTGGATGGGGTCCCAGTGCTCGACCTGAGCCTTTACCAGCCTCAGCTGTTGCAGGCAACTGGAGGATTAAAACCAGGCTGAAGCTCACCCTTTCTTGCTCTTCAGTGTCAAAAATAACTTCAAATATACCTGTCACAAAACTTTAATGATTCAAAAAAAAAACAACTTTAATGATTCAGTTGGGAGAATGGAAACACTGGAATCTAAACATATAATTGTAAACATATAAATTACAGACCTGATTTTAAAAGGCACCTAGTAGGGGCCCGGCGCGGTGGCGCAAGTGGTTAAAGGTCCTCGCCTTGCACGCCCGGGATCCCATATGGGCGCCGGTTCTAATCCCGGCAGCCCCGCTTCCCATCCAGCTCCCTGCCTGTGGCCTGGGAAAGCAGTTGAGGACGGCCCAAAGCTTTGGGAACCTGCACCCGCGTGGGAGACCCGGAAGAGGCTCCTGGCTTTGGATCGGCATAGTATCGGCCCGTTGCGCTCACTTGGGGAGTGAATCATCGGACGGAAGATCTTCCTCTCTGTCTCTCCTCTCTGTATATCCGCCTTTCCAATACAAAAATAATAAAAAATAAATCTTTCAAAAAAAAAAAAAAAAAAAAAAGGCACCTAGTAATTGCTCTGTAGTTTCTTCCTGAGCACACAGTGCTTGCTTTGGTAGCACACTGAGAACTATAAGAACACAGATGCCGCCTCCAAATGGCAGTTTCTATACATCACTCATACATAATCCTTTCTCTTTAAGATTGACTCATTTATTGAAAGAGTGACAGAGATGGTCCTTATGCCCTTATGTTCATTACGAAATGCTCACAGTAGACATGCTGGACCAGGCCCAGCACAGTTGTCTAGAGTTCAATCTAATTCACTCCTTGTGGGTGGCACACACCTAGGTGGGCAGCCCTTAGCTCTGCCTCCCAAGGTGGACATTAACAGAAAGCTAGACTCAGAAGTGGAGCAAAGATTCCAATAGGAGATGTGGGCAGCCCCAGTCATCTTCAACACTGTGCCAAACAATGGCCCTGTCCTAATTAGAGCAGCTCCCTCCAGCTGCACCCAACTCTCAGAGCCAACTGTTTATATTATTTACCATGCTCTTCAGGAACCCTGCCCGCTTTACAAAACAATCCATCCTGTCTTGCAAAGAAAACATGGAGTGGACAGGACCAAGGATGTACGGTTAACGTCCTTGGTGGTCACAGATACTTAATGTGCGGCAATGCTGTATTTTTAAAATAATGTTTATTTACTCATCTGCTTAAGGAAAAAGTTTAATGTGGCAAATGTTATTACCAAACGTTCAACCATGTGGGCATTTTTAACACTTGCAACTACTTTTCAAAATGCGAAACTCTCCCCTTAGTGTGAAATTATACGAAGATGCGCCAACGTGGAGAGATGCCATGAAGAAAACAACTATACTAGAGCTAGGAGCCTGTGCTTCATCTCCTGCCACTCACAGAGCTCTGCCCAAGACCATCAGACTTCCTGATGCAAATTCAACAGATGTGAGCCAGATTCAAGGCCCATCTTCCATGACCAGTTCTGACTGCAGGTGATTCCCCCGCGCTGCATCCTTGGCCCAGTCCTCTATCTTCAACAGCATTCCCCCCAAACCACACACTCCCGAATCCAATTACTCCACCACTAACCAACCCAGCTCAACATCTGCTGTTCATCCCAGCTTGGATCCCATATGGGTGCCGGTCCATGTCCTGGCTGCTCCACTTCGCATGCAGCAACCTGCTCGCGGCCTGGAAAAGCAGCTGAGGACGACCCAAGGCCTTGGGACCCTGCACCCAGAAGAAGCTCCGGGCTTCGGATCAGCCATTCGGAGTGAACCAGCAGAAGGAAGATCTTTCTCTCTCATATACAAGGAAAGTCCCGGAGGTTTAAACATCAGGAAGGATTCCCTATGTTGCTGTGCATTTGAAGATGAAGAGGACCACGTGTCCAGGCCTGGGGGCCCTCCGTTCTGCACCCCGCAACATTTAAGACACGTGCCTGTGTCCACATACACAAAGCTCCAGGTCGGCTCGACTCCTGGACCCCAAACGGGAAGACGGAACCAGCCCCTCTGTCCACCCACAGCTGCAAAAGAAACTCGGTATTCCTGAGCCCAGCTCTCAAAGCCCGGCACGGGCCTGGACGCGGAGCACCACCTCCCGCAGCGGCTCGGCCCGACGCCCGCGGCCATGCAAGCGGCGGGCACGGTGCGGAGCGGAGATCGCGGCCGCTGCACCGCGCCGGCCGCCCCGACTCCCAGCTACCTCTCGGCGATGTAGAGCGTGCCGGTGCCCAGGCCCTTCCCGTTCAGCACGGCCTCGGTGTCCGGCTGCTGGTGCCGCAGGCCCTCGGCGGACCCCGGGGGCAGGAAGCTCCGCAGAAAGCTCATTTCAGCAGGGAGACGGCCACGGACGAGGTGGGAGCCCCAGCCCAGCGATGGCCCCACGCGCCGGCCCGCCCCGGAAGCAGACAAGAACACCCCGGAAGCACAACTTAGCCTCCACGGCCAATCGAGCGCGAGCGACCATCGACGCGGGACGCTCTAGGACACACTGTCGGAGGTCTACGCTTTATGCCGCCGCACGTTCCTCCCCGTTTCCTTCTCAGCTTCGGAAGAACCGACGCTTCTCCGGGGACATCGCGGCCACAGAAGGAGCAAGAGGAATATATATGAGTCGCGTCTGCACAGAAGAAACGGGCCTGAGAAGGCCTGGGAAGTGGGGACCACAGAAGTCTCCCAGCTCAGCTCCTGATTTACCGTGCCTCTGGTCCTATTCACTCGTCAGGTGTGTACAACCGTGCATTAGACGCTGGTGTGGTCCAGACGCCAGCCAGGTGCGCGAGCCACGTGTCCCCGAATTGACACAGGGTACAGAGCTCGCCAGGCAGTGAGGGAAAAAGGATTTATCCTGCAGCTGTGGATGTTCAGGATGCAGCTTTGATGAATATACACACACACCCCAACTATATATAGGATATTTCTATCACGACAGTTTCCTGCTTCTCCTTTCCAGCAACACTTCCTTCCAACTGGTAATCTTTATATCCTGAATGCCTAATCTAGAACTCTGTGTAGGCAGTTACACAGTCCACATGCCTTTGTGCATGTCTTCCTTCACTTAGCATATTTTTGAGGCTCACCCTCGTTACGGCTCAATTTCGTAGTAGTGAATAAACCACAATTCCATTATCTGCAGAGAGGAAGATCTTCCCTCTAATGATTCACTCCCCAAGTGACCACAACGGCTGGTGCTACACCGATCCGGAGCCAGGAACCAGGAAGTTCCTCTAGGTCTCCCACGCAGGTGCAGGGTCCCAAGGCTTTGGGCCATATTCTACTGCTTTCCCAGGCCACAAGCAGGGAGCTGGATGGGAAGTAGGGCTGTTTGGATTAGAAGTGGCACCTATATAGGGTCCCGGCGAGTTCAAGGCCAGGAATGTAGCCGCTAGGCTACTCACCGGGCTCTCTAAGCTGGTTTTTGTTTTGTTTTTACCATTCTACAGTTCTGTTAAATATTAATTCTAGTTGCTCCCCATGTTTATTAGCATTTGATGTTGTTTTTCATTTATTTAAACCATTCGGCCGTGTTTGCAAAAAGAAAATTCAGTAACTCACTGAATTTTAATTAGCTTTATAGCACATGAAAAAATTTTGTAAAAAGCAAGGCCAATTCACAAAGAAAAAAGAAAATTGACCCAAGAGAGCATTGATGTTGCAATTATTTAGAGACTTTAAAATAATTACCTTTTAAAAAAATTTCTTTATTTGAAAAACACCATGTCAGAGAGAAAGAGAGTGAGATTTTGCATACGCAACAGCCATGTCTGGGCCAGAGTGGCAGTGCCCCTGTGCCTGGGCCATCTTCCACTGTTCTCCCAGACACGTTAGGAGGGATCTGGATCCCAGGTGGAGGGGCCAGCACTCAAACAAGTGCTGTTACAGGATGCCAGCATTATAGGCAGCAATTCAACCTACTATGTCAAAATGCTGCCCCCAATAGCTTTTATAGAGACAAAGACATAAAAGAAATGCCCAAAGCAAGTTGAAAAAATGATGTGTTAACATAGTGAGTGTATCAATAAAGAAGTCATAAAAAGGAGCCCAAGAGAAATTCCACTGCCCGCAAGTGCAGTGACTGACAGGAGAATTTGCACAGTGTGACTCAATAGCAAATTCCAGCAGCAGAAGAGACAAATCAGCAAGCATAAAAATAAATCAATTTAAATTATACAGGAACAGAATGCAAAGAAGAATGAAGAAAAATAAACAGAGCCCTAAGACCCAGAGAACACCATCATATGCATAACACATATGGAGAAGAGAAAAAGCAGCAGAAATGGTGACAGAAAGCCTGACACATCTGATTAAGATACATGAATCTGTACATCTAAGAGGCTCAACATATTCCACCCAGCATAAATGTGAAGATCAACATACAGAATCGTCATAGTCAAACTGTCAAAAGCCAAAGATAAAAATAATCTTGCAAAGCAGCCAGGAATTGACTCATTGCCCATAAGGAATTCTCAAAACAAATGAAATAGCAATTATATGCAAACTATTTTTGATATCTTAAATGAAATGAACAAATTCCTAGAAAGCCACAAAGTATCAAACCTAATTCAGGAAGAAATACAATATCTGAGCAGATCTGTAACAAACACAAGTTACTTTATTAGTAATTAAAAAAAAAAAAAAAGCCCGAAGACTACATGAATCAGTGGTAATTCTACCAAATATTTATAGAACTAATAATCTTTTTCAAATTTATTCATGACTTTATCTTCTTCCTTCAACCATAATAATATAATAGCGAAATTTTGTCTTAAGTGCTGGGTTTGTTGACACAGGCTTATCCATCTCACTGGTGAGGCCAATGCTGATTCCTGAAATGGTCCTACCATGGGCGCTTTGGTCATCCAGTCTGTCATGCCCTTGTCAGGCTTTCTCTTCACTATATTGTGCAGTCACATTTCAATGAAATTCACCCCAGACTTTTTCCCTGGCTTCCATAATCTTGCCATGCTTTTCACACAGAATGTGCCTGACCTTTCTGTATTGCTACTACTTGTGGGGCCCTGAGCCTTTGTGTCTGCACTGTCAATCCCAGAAGTGGCTCCTCCTTTTGCCCTGTTCTAGAACCACTTTTAATTTGGGTGGTATCTTCGGAGCTTCAGGCCTCTTCTTGAGACTCTCACCACGACTGAATGGTACTCAACTTGCTTTTTTTTTTTTTTTAAGATTTCTTTTATTTTTATTAGAAAGTCAGGTTTTTTTTTTTTTTTTTTTTTTTTTTTTTACACAGAGTAGACAGGAAGGAAGATCTTCTGGTGGTTCACTCCACAAGTGGCAACACGGGAGCTAAGACAATTCAAAGTGAGGAGTGAGGAGCTTCTTCTGGGTCTCCCACTTGGGTGCAGGGTCCCAAGGCTTTGGTCAATCCTCGACTGTTTTCCCAGGCCACAAGCAGGAGCTGCATGGGAAGTGGAGCATCCAGAAAATGAGTAGAGCCTGCATGGGATCCCAGTGCATAAAAGGCGAGAACTTTAGCCACCAGACTACTATGCCAGGCCCTCCAGTACTTTCAACAATGCCACCTCTCCTACATGATCAATGTATTCTACAGCAATTACATCTTTTAAAATGTATCTGCAAGCCACATTCAGCCTTTAGGCTGAGATCAAAGGCAAAAACGTATGCACAATGTGGAAAGTCTCAAAGAGATGTAGGCTGACAGCCATGTCCTAAGCCCTGCTCTCTACTCCAGAAAAGGCTCATTCCTGTGAATAATGCAGTGCTACCAATGATGGCCCCTGTGGCCTCCAACACTGGACACCACCTCCAGTTAGCAGATTCTGTTAAAGCGAGAAATGTAAAACAAATCACTGAGAAACATTGTAACTCAACATTTCTTGTCAGCATGGACTAGTCTTATTAAGTTGTAATTCAAAGCCCCTGCTAGTTAATCTGTATTTCAAACAGAATTGCAAACAATGAGGGTTCAGTTAGTTTGTTGGTAAAAATAAAAATGGGTTCAAGGTGGGTTTCACAGTATTTCAAGAATAAAGAAAATCTATCAGAGGAATAGATGAATCCTGCTCTGGGTTGGGAAGTCTCATTAAAGTCATGTGGACTAACTCCTTTTTGGATGTGTTGATCTACCATGCTCCTGCCAAATGTCACTTGTCTGCCCAAACACCCCTTATTCATAGAAGAAACTCAGTCTGAAAGTTATTAGTAAATTTCTTTCCACAGAATGCACTGGAAATTTTCCCCATATGCCTGCTGCACTATAGTCTCATTCTGATCCAATGTGCATGCACACACACACACAGACATAATGGCCTCACTCATGCACAGTTTCTCTCAGGGCTAACATTAGAAACCAAGAACAGTTCTCTAATTATCCAATTTACTTAGTAAATGACCTTAAAATTATTTCAGGAAATATGGAATATAGAAAATCAATTCTCTTCACATTATTAAAAGTGGAGGAAAAAAAAAGAAAACATTAGTTTGGTGAAACACTTGCAAATTAACTTTGTAGATAGTGAAAGGAAAATTAATATATTCCTAGATGATTAAAAATGTAAAATCAAATTAAGTTTGCAAAGACATCATGCTAAATACATCAAATTATTTAAATTTTTATTATGACAATTGACATATATTAAGTGAAAGAAATGACAGAAGTATAATAAAACATTTTAAAAGAAAAAGTTACACAAGTAGGCCAACAGCTATAAAATGGCTTTAGGCCTGGTTTATAACATTAAGAGATCTGATCATACTGTGGTGAGACACTGAACATTCCATGAACAAAAATACTGGCACCAGCCACAACATAGTTTGGTTGTCACTTACAAGGAATATTGCATTTAAACAACTATGCACTGCAATTCTAACACACTAGGTGCTTTACACTGCATCTGACTCCCGGAAGCCTTAAGCTATCAGGAATTTCCATATGTGCTGATGCACAGAACAGTCTTTGTGTGTTAGCAGAATCACATTTCCAGTTTTCAGATCTCCCCCCAACGTGCATGCAGTACATTATCATGTGACACAGAGCACCCCAACTTCTTCTATTTGACTAACAGCACAGTCTCAAGGACTCCCACAGTTAGTTTTATCCTAATTGTGGAGATTCTGCTTTAGATCTTACCTCCTAGAGCCAAAATATTCTGACAAGCTATTCTACAGATAATTTCTTCTGATGCATAGGAAAATAAAGTATTTCATACAAGCAAGTCTGAAAATCCAAGAGGTGCTCTAACCAACCACTCACTGAATTTCAGCTATTTAAGATCAAAATGAAATTCTAAAATATACCATACACAAATTTTGATCTGGAATTTGTATTCACCTCAGAATGGGTAACAACTGCCTTCCTACGTTAGCTGACAACAGACAAAGGTAGATTAGAAATTAGGACGCATTTAGACAAATTCAATTCCTTACAAGAATACACTTGTGCTACAAAGCTGAGGCGTCAGAATGGTGAAATTATCAGATGGCAAAATGTACTGGCATTTCAACAAAGGCAGCGATTACATAATATGGTTAACAAATGCCAGGTAAGAATACTGACAAATCAGCAGTTCTACAAGATCTCAAAGTATCTATCAAGTAATTGGGGGTGTGTGTGAAGTCTGAACCTGATTCCCCTTCCTGCCATGATTTCAGCAAATATTCCCATGGAATTAAGTCTACTGAGTAACCAGATGGAACAATTTTAGCCTTCTTTTCTTTTACAGATGAAGAGAAACCAGAACAAGCCCTGGCCCACCCCACCAAATCCAGCACTGGACATGCCTTTTCAAAGTGCACATAAAACCCCGTGGTAGTTTTGGACAAGCTACAATTCAGATACCATTATCAAGACGTTACTTTGGTAAGAGAACAAAACACAAGACCAACATCAAGAAGACCCTATTTAGGTATCACAAAAATCATGCACTGAAATATTATGCTTGTAACTATCAAATTTGGGCTATTTTTTTTACCTGCTCCAATTCTGAAAATCCATTTACACTAATATAAATTAACTCTGAGTATATATGTATGTTTCTACACGTATGTATGCCTTTCATGCAATGATCTTAAAACTTTGAAGATAGAAGTTTTAGTCTAATTTCAAGCCTTGTCCATACAGTAGTACTAACATGCACCAACTCTGCTAAAGGACAGGAAAATGAAAAAGACCATGAAACAAATGGTTAAACAATTTTAAGTTTAATTACATAATGCACCTGTAGATGTTCTAGCAGAAACACAATTGTAAAAATCTACATCCTATTTTAGGGTATTTTCCCACTTTCCATCCCTTAAGAGCTGTACAGTTATAAAAAAAAAAGGTGACTCTCAAGCAAAATAATTTTTTTTTTTTGCTACATACAAAATAAGTTAAATGATTCAGAAAATCTTGAGCCATTAAGTTCCCCCATGAGTGTGTTCTGGCTGTCCATAAGCGTAACATGCAGACTTCTGGTGTGTGACCAGAATTCAATAAATACAGATCAAACAAGACTCCAAAACACATAAATTAGATTTTTTTTTAGAAACCGATGAAAGTCAAGAAAACATAGTTAGGGTTAACAATTCCGTTCTCAACTTACATCATCCAGTGGCAAAAAGAACAAGGCAGATTATTCAGTTCTTAGCACATTTTCTAGCTTGTACCGGTTTGGCAAAAAACACAATTGTAGTTCCTTTAAAAATGTTTCTCATTCAAACGTCTAAGAGTTCCATAAATTTCTACTCTAATAATTTGTTATGCAGTCTTATATAACTTACATATAAGATAGACATCTTAAAGTTACTAAAGTAAAAATAACATCTTTATTAATTGAAGCCATTATTATAATGTGCCAGAATTGGACTTATAGCATTTCCCAAAGTGGTTTAAATATAAAATGGAAAAAAAATTCAGTTTATATGATCAAAATTTCAAAATTCCACTAAGGAGATTCTACTCGAAACTTCTTAGAGGAATGGGGTGAGTAAAAAAAAAACAGCATTGAATATACAATCTACAGTGGCTACACCCAGCTTTCTATAGTTTGGCTTACAATTGCTTGCTTACTTAGGAATGATCTACCTTCAGCGTATCTGCAGACTTACTGAGAAGTTCTTGGCACCCAAATAATTAGAAAATTTAAATTGGAGTAAAATATTTTGAAGCAAATCATTATGTTAACAGGTAAGAACAATAATCCAGTTTAAACACATTAATAACAATGGCCCTTTGGGATTGCTATAGAAACAATGAGAAAGAAATCAGCTTACCATTTCCATGGTGAGTTTACAAGTACACACAGGGAATGGTGGATAAAACAGGAATGAGCTATATTCTAAGGATGTTTAGTAATAATGAATCATGTTGAACAGGGGAGGATGAGGTTGATTATAGTATCTGGGCAGACTATGCATATTCTGTTTCCTGGACAATCTGGTATTTAATATCAAAGTGTCAAACAAGAGAAACTATTGCTCTCTAGACTTTCCTCATTTTCTGTATGTTACAATGCATGATGGATTGATTTTTAATTATTCTAATACCTAAAATATCTTTTTAAGATGTGACCTTTGAATATTTGTTCTATGATATCTGTGAGGAAACAGTCTGCATTATGGACCTATTCCACTGGTGAAGAATGGATTTCACGTGTTTTTCTAAACACAAAATTGTAGACTCGTTAAGTTGTTAGTAGCTGTCAGGTAGAACAAACTAGTGGATGCTTAACATCTCTTATGTTCACAAAAACGAACTAAAAATGCATTCCCCCAAAGGAAATTCCATCAATACTAATTAAAAATAGCTAACATTTCCCCATGATTTTAAATAAATGTCCATATTTTACGATATATGCACTTTGCTTAAACGCCTTAATATGGCATGGCATAGTATCTTATTATGATATAATACCATCAATGAAAAAATGAAATCTGGACAGTGTGTAATATCCTTTTAAAACTAATTTTTAAAATGCTTTTTCACTAACTTCATTAGCATGTGAACTTCTTAATTCTTTGGCAGTCGCCCTGCTTTTTTTGCTTGTTTGTTAGATTTCCAGCAGGCATGAATGCAAGCCTTTACCCTCTGAAGCTGTTAACATTGACCAGCTGGAAAGGGTGTCAAGGAAGCAGAACTTCAAAGCATCATGCATGTTGTTGAAAATCCCTCTGTCACCATTTTTTAGTAATTAAAACAATTTAAAAAGTTTTACACCAAACACTCTTTGATCAGCGCAAATGCACAAAACCAAAACATATACTTTATCTGAATCCTTTTCACATGTATTTTAATACAAAGCTTCTGCACAGTAAAAATTTGGGCTAGTTTTCAAAGCTTTACAGAAATTGAAACTTCTGACTACTAAACTACATTTCCCCTTAATACATCTGTTGTAAAATACAGAGCATGATAAGAGTCCAACTTGTATTTCGAACAAAGGGGGCATAAATTATTAATGGGCTCAATCATATACAAGGAGCTACTGACAGTCTAAGTCCATGGCTAATGCTCTAATAAGGATCCCAGTTCCTAATGATTGTATTCTCTTTCAGATAGGGAAATATTTATGTTTTCTTGTAATGATTCTTATCTAAAACTTTCTCAGAGAGTATTTCAGTGGACACTCTGAAACTCAATCTAAATGCCAAGCAGCACAACTACTTTCTAACTCTCCAAAGTTTAATCAGCTACAATCCACTGACTTGCATAGTAATCACTTTACATATCAGCTGCTGCATTACAACTGTGGTAGATGGACCATGGTTAACCAGTTTTATCACACTGTAACGCTGAAAGGAATATACCCATTGAAGCTGACACTTCATCTCAACTCTGATAAATAGCAGCATAGGATGTCCCATGGCAGCAGGACATATGCTAAATGGAATACGCAGTCTTCACTGTTAAAAAAAAAAAATTACCTGGGACTTTCTATAGCAGAAGAGTACAAAGAACTGTTTCACACTAGGAGTGTTGTAAAAGTAAATATCTACCCACTAATCTTAGTGATAACCTGCTTAAATGAGGAATAGCACTAACAGATGGAAGTAGGAGCTGGTGTGTCTAGAGGTAGAGACAGGGCACATGGGGGAGCTGCTACTTGATAGTGGATGTACCCAACTGCAGGTTTAAAAATGTGAGAGGGAGACTGGGTAGCAGGAAGGACCGCCTGCATGTATGAACCACTTACCTTGCACTAGTAGGAATCTTTTGTACTGCTTGTCTGTTGTAGATAGTTAAAAGTTTTAGCTTAAAACAAACAAACAAAAAACCTAGCTGGAATGGAGGCTCCTCCTCTCACAGGCCTGCTTCACCGTCTCTGAAACTGCTTCCTCTCCCTTCCAGTGGAACATTATCTCAAAACAAACACAAAAATTCATAACTTGCTTGGAACCACTTGCTATCAGTGCATTCTGTTTCTAGGCTGCTTTCATTATTTTTTTTTTATGCAAGCACATACACATTGCTAGAGTCAAAGCAAAAAATATAAGTGGATGGATAACTACAAAACTAAAGCTAAACAACAACCCATGATGACTGAAAAACAACAGCTATAAACTTTCAAGGCCAAAATATATGATTTAAGGGCAAAACCTCTTGAGGAAGAAAAAGGAGTAGCATAAAGTTTTTACAGAGGTATTTATAATGTATATCTAATGCCAGCTTTTTAATAATAAAAAAGAGAAGTGCTTTCCTATACACAAACTAGCACATATAATGTATAATTTGGGAAGAAAACTCAATGAAGTTCCTTGGGCCAGCAGCAGATACAGTTGTGTCCATTGCCGGCAACAGACACAACACTGGAACAGAAAACCCCAAACCCCAGGGCAAAGGTATTCACAGAAGTACTAGTTGAAGGTTTCAGATTTGGACAGGAAAGGTTGAATGCAAGTGCTACACTCTATACAATGTTTGGTTCTGCCCCAAATTTTACAGCTGTAACAGAAACTAAGTAAGACAAACTAAGTAAGACAAAGCTCACATTTTAGTGTCCATATCATGTGTTAAGTATTTAGTTAGTTACAAACCACCTTTTCTGGAAACAAAGGCTTCTTTTTCATTAAATTATTGAGATATTTTAAATGGATGTGGTGCCTATGAAGCATATTAGCAGTTCTCACTCATCTCTATGTTGGTTATGTGATTATTAAAGAATTTTAATAGAAGTCTAATGGCCAAAGGCCAAAATCTACATTCAAACCCTGCTAATATATCCAGGCAGATAGGAAATTCCAACACACAGAGATGCACACGCACACAACTCACACACACACACACACATAGACAAACTAAAAACCTCCCAAAGGAACTGCTTTGTTTGTAGACTTCAATTTGAAGTAGATACCAAGGGCAAGAACAGACCAGTTAAAATTCACCTGAAAATCCCTTCCCCATCTTGAAATGTGCTAAAATACCATTGTCAGCTTAGCATCTTTTCTTGTATTTTATACATAGATGTATTTCTTCGAAAATGACACACAAGATATTTAAACATCAAGTGGCCAGAAGACAAGAGTTACAATGTAGGCGAAGTTTACATTCCATCTGAGTCTTATGGAGGACCGCAGTCATTTTACTAATAACTCTCCATCAGATATAGTATGTTCAAGGCCACCAGATAACCACAGCATAAAGCTATTTTTAAAATATTTGTTCCTAGCGCAATGTGGTTGTCAAAGCTTCATTATACATTTTACTATACAAACGCTTTTCAGATGATTAAAACAAGACAAAACAAAACAAGAAACTCCACTATAACAGAAACTTAGGTTAAAGGTGTTTTGTTTTTTTTAATGATGGTCTTTCATGGTCTCTTCTTTATTAAGCGTGGTTATCTCCAATAGTAAACAAGTTGATTTCACGAAGGCTGTTACTAAATGACTTATGTATGAATGTTATCTACAATTCTCAACAGTACAGACTTGAACTTTTGATCAGTCTGTTCACTATCACCTATGCCATGAATGCTTAAATAGAATATATATTTAATATGAAAAAGCTAAAGCACAAGTGCTTTCTCCCACCCCTAAATTCGATTTTGGGCCCTCACAGGTTTGGAATGCATTCTTATCCACCTTTTTTTTTCCCCCACAAAGTCAGGACAGCTCAGGAAATACAAAGTCAAAAATATACAAATCTTTGTTGTTATTATAATAAGATTTTTTTTTCATGAGTGAAATTACCAAGGACCATGAACTTGGAAAAAGAAAATCAAAAGGAATTTACAGCAATTATCTTCAAAGTTTGAAACTGGTCATTTCACAGAAAGAATCCAAGGTCTGTTGAAATTTTTCTTCTAAAAAGTCATTCTGTAGGAGTTTTCTAGGAAAATTAAACAGCTTTGAATAACTGGCCCGCTGGTGTGAGAGCTACCATGGAATAAATTAGCATAAAAATGGAAAAAAAAAGTCTTATAACTGTTCACTGTTACAGACATAATCAACAAGGTCAGTCACTCTCAACAGCTCATCTTCTTCCTCCTCCGGGGCCCCTGCCTCCTGCCCTCCACTCGTCCCATTGGGGGCTAGGCTTGCACTGGCTGTGCTGTTGTCCTTGGGGGTCAGAGGCTTCTCAGCTGGCTTACCAATCAAGTTCTCAATGGCTTTGCCAGGACTCTGTCCATTAGTGGAAGGCAAGTCCACTAAGCTGTAGTCCAGTGGGCTCCCCACTTTGCCCACGTTTTCGAAGTCCTCTTCCCCGTCACTTTCTATCCGGTAGGGCTTCTTGGTGCTCTCGTGCTCTGAGGGAAGGATCCTGGACTGGCCATCGCGGGCAGGAGGCTCGACAGCTCCAGGAGCATTGTCACAATTCTCCTCCTCATCTGTCTCAATCCTGTGCAGCCGTTTGCGGGATGGTTTGCCTTCCTCTTCCTCGTCTTCCTCTGCTTCGGAATACTCATCTGTACTTCGGCCTCGCTTTCGAGCTGAGCGCTTTGATCCTTTAGCTAGCTCATCATCTTCTGAGTTCTTGGACATATAGCTCTCTAGAATAAACAGCACATTTAAGCTATTGGCATGGGTAAATAACCGTATGTAGTTAAGTAATGTAATTCTTCTTTGCTTCCCCATATTCACCCCATGTCCTGCTTTCAGATTTGCTTGTATGTAAATATTTCCCTTCCAGAGTGGGACTAAATTCTCTCTTCTCACTTTTCAAACAAGGCTCAATATGATTCCTTGCATATTCTACCTATAATCTTTAGCAAAACGCAGGTTTCCAGAAGAAGGCTGGCAATTCTCAAATTAGACAAAGACAGAATGGTAATAAACTATCAAACATTTCCCTACTAGTTCTAAAATGAAGGCATCTTGTAAATATATCTGAAAGAAAAAACTAAAAACCGATACTGAACTCTGTACATCTGAAAGGGTCTGTTAACTCCTATCATACAGCATTAAACTGCTCAGGAGATCTGTGAGGTCATTTCTCCTGTATCTTCACTTATATCACGTGACCTCACCTAGTGGCAAGGTTTTGGGTACCGTCTACATGCTGATAACTCCAGTCTGCTTTCAGGCAACCATCAAATACCAGACTTAAGTACCAGAGTTGACATCTATGCTTGGATAGGAAAACAGACATTTCAAAGACAAAGTGAGGCAAACTGAACTCGTGATAAACGAGCCTATAAAAAGCTGCGGCCCTGTAGTGTCCAGCAGTTTAGTTTCTAACTGTGCAATTCCAGCTGCTCTATTATACTCCACTCCTTTCCTGCTCTGATCCAACTGAACAATATGTCCTTTGCTTTACCTATGTAAAAAAAAAAAAAAAAAAATGACAGGGCCCAGCGGCATGGCCTAGCGGCTAAAGTCCTCACCTTGAACGTGCCGGGATCCCATATGGGCGCTGGTACTAATCCCGGTGGCCCCACTTCCCATCCAGCTCCTTGCTTGTGGTCTGGGAAAACAGTTGAGGACAGCCCAAAGTCTTGGGACCCTGCACCCATGTGGGATACCTGGAAGAAGTTCCTGGATCCTGGCTTCGGATCGACATAGCATTGGCCATTGCGCTCACTTGGAGAGTGAATCATTGGGACGGAAGTTCTTCCTCTCTGTCTCTCCTCTCTGTATATCTGACTTTCCAATAAATAAATAAATCTTAAAAAAAAAATTGACAATTTAATTGCTTTTCATCATGTTACTGCCCTATTCCCAACCATCACCATTTTGACTGGGACTATTTCAAGAAGACCATGGTGGAATCCCATATGGGCATGAGATCAAATCCCCATTGTTTCGCTTCTGATTGAGCTGATGATGCAGCTAGGAAAGTAGAGATGTCCCAAGTGCTTGGATCCCTGCCTCCCATGTGGGAAACCTGCAAGAAGCCTCTATCTCCTGGCTTCATTGAGGCCCAGCTCCAATCGCCGTTTCAATCAGTTGGCTGATAGAGGATCGCTGAGTCTATTGTCTCTCTGTAACTCTAAGATGTGTTAAAAAAAAATCAACAAACAGGGCCCACCCTGGTGGCCTAGTGGCTAAAGTCCTCGCTTACACGCCAGGATCCCATACAGTCGCTGGTTCTAATCCCAGCAGTCCCATTTCCCATCCAGCTCCCTGCTTGTAGCCTGGGAAGGCAATCAAGGACGGCCCAAAGCCTTGGGATCCTGCATCCATGTGGGAGACCAGGAAGAGGATCTGGGCTCCTGGCTTTGGAACGGCTCAGCACTGTCCAATGCGGTCATTTGGAGAGTGAATCATCAGACGGAAGATATTCCTCTCTGTCTCTCCTCCTCTCTGTATATATCTGACTTTGCAATAAAATTAAATAAATCTTTATAGAAATAAATAAATAAATAAACAAATACAATTTAAAGTTTTCAAGGGTCTCTCAGCTTTTGCCCTTGCCCCTGCAATTAAGTCACAACACAGGTGCCCTATAAGCCAGAGACTGGGGGAGCAGTGTAGTTGGTCAAGCCATAGTCTGAGATGCCAGCATGCCATCTGGTCACTGGTTTGTGTCTCAGATGCTCTTCTGACTCAGCTCCTTGCTAATGCACTGAAAAAGAAGTGGAGGATGGCTCACATGTCTGGGCTCCTGCCACCAGATGGAGCTTCTGGTTGCAGACTTGGCACTGTGGCTCTCTAGGGAGTGAAATAGCACATGGAGGATATCTGTTCCTCCTTCTCTGTAACACTGCCTTACAAATAAATAAATAAATAATAGTTTAAAAAAATATGAAGGCATAAAAAAAGACAAAACTTTTTTTTTCCCCTCAAACCCCTCCTAATGTTTCTTACCTGATACAGAAAAAGAAAAGTAATATCAACAACTGCTTGCTCTATGCCTCCTGATATGGTACAGACTAGTCTTGTGGTTATCTTAAAATTAAATTCAATACCATGGTCAAACCAGCCACATCTCACGTACTTAATAGGCAAAAAACCTACAAGCTATTGCACTGATTGTCATAGAGACTATTTCCATCATTCCAGAAAGTTCAATTGCACAGCAATGCTTTTCACCAGAAGTGAGCACAACTTTTCTGTAAATGACAGGCACCAGTCTGTCATAGCCACTCAATGTTCTTTGAAAACGACAAAACACATTACATAAGTAAATGCACATTGACATTTTTCAATAACACTTGCTTGCTGGGGCTGGCTAGTGTGGCACAGTGGGTAAAGCCATGCCTGGGATGCTGGTATTCCTTATAGCTCTGGTTAGAGTTTCAACTGCTCCACTTTAAATCCAACTCTACTAACAAGCCTGGGAAGGCAGTGGAAGATGGCTCAAGTGAGTGGCCCCAGCAACCTATCTGGTCGACCAAGATGGAGTTCAGGTTCTGGTTTCAGCCTAGCCCATCCCAGGCCATTGTGATCATTTGGGGAGAGAACCAGCAGACAGAAGATTTCTCTTTCTCTGTAAATCTGCCTTTCAAGTAAAAATAAAAGAATTTCTTAAAATATGGAATAATATGATAGTATAAAAATTAAACATAAACTCTGTGACTCTCTGTAATTCTAACTTTCCAATAAAATAAACACATTTTAAAGAGAGAAAAACATTACATGTTAAAATTACTTTAGGGGTTCTGGCATCATGGCACAGTGGGTAAGGGAGCTGATGAGACATCCTCATCCCATGTCGGCACTGGTTCAAGTCCTGGTTGCTCTACTTCTGATCCAGCTCACTGCTAATGTTCCTGGAAAAAGCTACAGAGGATGGTCCAAGTCCTTGGGCCATTATAACCATGTGGGAGACCAGGAAGAAAACCCTGACCCCTGCCCAATGTAGCTATTTGGGGAGTGAACCAGCAAATGGGAGGATCTTTGTATCTCTTTCTCTCTGTATCTGTTAACTCTGCCTTTCAAGTAAATAAGTAAAAATCTTTTTAAAAAGTGAGCACTCTTACTCCAAAGACACTGTCAAATATGAATAAATATTTTTAAAAAGTGGAGAGCATACCGAAGTACACATGGAGCAGTCCAACCTGCAGAGGATACCTGGCACCACAACAGAGCACAGAACAGATCAATCAACTACCCCAGCCATATGTTGGCAGTGAAAAACTGAACAGAAACGCTAAGGTGGACTTTGTCAATCAGTGGATTCTGTAGCAACTTCATTGTGCTTGGAATGGCGAGATTGGTAGCAATTCATAACTGTTGAACTATCAAAACTACTTGAGCTGGGATGGGTGGGAGACTGGGTGGGGCTTCTCCCATTGTCTCCCCCTTTACGAGATACAGGAAAAAAAACCAATGTGGAAATAATGGTCTTACCCACTTTCCTATATTGTGTCCTAATTAAATATATAAAGATAGTTAAAAAACAAAACAAAAAAATAAATAAAAGCTTTTAAAAAATCAAATAATGCTGAATTAAATGCATAAAATATTTTTTCTAAAGATTTATTTATTTTTATTGGAAAGTCACTTTTTGTTTTGCATTTTTTTAACAGAGAGGAGAGAGAAAGATCTTCCATCTACTGGTTCACTCCACAAGTGGCTGTAATGGCCAGAGCTGGGCTGACACATATGGGATCCCAGGGCATGCAAGGAGAGGACTGTAGCCATTAGGCTACCGTGCCAGGACCAAATGTATAAAACATTTTAAAAAGTTAAAGTTCAGGTCATTTAAAATGAATTTATAATCATCTTAGGAGTAACTACAAAGACTAAAAAGATACATAAATTCATATTCTAGAGCTTTTGAGACACTTTCAAATTTTTAATTTATTTTTAAAAAGCACTTATTTGAAAAAAAGAGTCAAAAAAAGAAGGAAGGGGAACAGACAGAAAGAGATCTTCCATCTACCAGTTCTCCTTGAAATTGAAGCAAGAGTCAGAGCTGAGGTGATCTGAAAGCAGGCTGGCTCCTTATGCACTTTTATCACATAATTTTTGTTTGTTTCTTTAAAGGTTTATTTATTAATATTGGAAAAACAGATTGATAGGGAGAAAGAGGGACACAGAGAGTTCTCTGTCCACTGGTTACCCCCCGAGTGGCTGCAACAGTCAGAACTGATTGGAAGCCCAGAGCCAGGAGCTTCTTCAAGGTTTCTCATGCAGGTATAGGGTTCCCAGGCATTGGGACACACTCCACTGCTTTCCTAGGCCACAACCAGGGGACTGGATGGGAATTAGAGCAACTAGGATATAAACTGGCACCCATGGGATCCTGCTATTTGAAGTGGAAGGATTAACCATTGAGCCAATGCGTCGGGCCTTAAGGTGTATTTCTTTATTTCTTCCTCCCCCCACCCCCCCCCTTTTTTTGCTACTGGAAAGTCACATATACAGAAAAAAGGAGATACAGCGAAAAGTCTTCTATCTGCTGGTTCACTCCCAAAGTGGCTGCAACAGCCGGAGTTGAGTCAATCTGAATTCAGAAGCCAGGAGCTTATTCCACATCTCCCAAGTGGTTGCAGGGTCCCAAAGCCTTGATCCATCCTTGACTGCTTTCCCAGGCCACAAGAAGGGAACTGGATGGGAAGTGGAGTAGCCAGGATATGAACTTGCACCCATATGGGATCCTGCAGCATGTAAAGTAGGTACTTTGGTTGAAATTGTGTTGATTTTCATGATACAAGAGGTTATTTCAAATTGAATACCCTGAGTTATACAAGCATGGAGGAGAAAGAATTAGTAAATTCTGGTCACAATACACTTTCCTAAGATGTGTTTCTTACATGCATCTTCTAGGATCAACAATGAATCCAGTCAACAGTATTGAAGTTAATAGCAATGAGATTTTATTTCTTTCAAGATTTATTTATTTGCAAGGTGTAACTACACAGAGAAAGATGACACAATCACCAAGAAAGAGAGAGAAAGACCAAGAGAAAGAAAGAGAATGACTTCAGCTGGCCAGGCCAAAGCCAGAAGCCTTCTCTGGGTCTACCAAGGGGGTACAGGGTCCCAAGCACTTGGGCCATTCTCCAGTGCTTTCCTAGGCACATTAGCAGAAAGCTGGATTGGCAGTAGAGCATCCAGGTCCTAAACCAGTATCCAAATGGAATGCTTGTGGTGGCTTTGCGTGCTACATCACAGTGCTAGCCCACATTCTTTTTTTTTTTTTTTAACTTTCTTTTTCTTAAGATTATTTTAGTTATTTGAAAGAGTAAAGAGGGAAAGTAAGAATGACACAGAAATATTTCAACTACTGGTTCACTCTCCAAAGGCTGAAATGGCTGGGGCTGGACCAGGCATAGGAAAAGCCTACGTCTTCCAGGTGGGTGCAGGGTCCCAAGAACATGGGCCACTTTTCAATGCCTTTCCAGGCACATTAGAAAGAGCTGGATTGTAAGCGAATCAAGCTGGTGCTCAAATGGCAGATTAGTGCTGACTGAGATCTTAAAATCAGCATCTTAGGGCTCAGTGGGGCCTCGTGGGTTAAGCGGCTGTCTGTAATGCCAAGAGTCCATGTGGGATATTGAGGTGGAATTCAAGCCTCCTGGCTTCAGCCGAGCCCAGCAGAAGGAAGATCAATGTCTCTCTGTTGCTCTCTCCTCTTTTCTCTGTTACTCTGCTTTTCAAATCAATAAACAAATCTATAAAAAATTAACATGTTATCAAATATGATCCACATAAAAAATAAATGCTGAGGAACAAAATAATGGGCTTTATCTCAAGCATACCACTTACTTGCTGCATAATGTCTATTTTCACCTTGTCTGAACTGCAAATCAGAGAGACTCCTTACCTTCACTTTCTGAAGTGGAAAGCCGGCGTTTGTGAATTCGTCTGATTTCTTTGCCACGTCGTATACTTTTCTGGGAACCATCACTTTCTGAATCTTCTTTATAGTTAATTTGTCTCTTCTGGTTCCTCCTTGACCGCCTTCGCCGAGTTTCTACAAAATCATCACTAAAATCGTCGCTAAAGTCACTTTCTATTAAAGCAAAAAAAAAAAAAAAAAGAAAAAAGAAAAGGAAAGTCAACTACAAAATTTAACTGTTGAACCAGAAAAATAAACTAGTTTAGGTTACAAAAAATTTAAAAGTATTAAATAGAATTCAATTACAAAATATTCTAAATACAGTAATCTTTGTAAGTTGCTTTCTTTTCTTCATAATAGGAGTTTTTCAGAGGGCCTGTCAGATCACAAATGTAACAGCCAGAGTAGGGCCAGAGCTTCTTGTGGGTTTCCCACATGAGTGAAGGAGCTCAAGGCTTTGGGCCAAATTCCACTGCCTTCCCAGGCCATAAACATGGAGCTGGATTGGAGATGCAACAGCCAGAACAGAACCAGCACCCATATGGGATGCAGGCATTTGAAGGTTAAAGATCAGCCTGTTGGGCCTCAGTGCTGGCCCCCCCCTTAGCCTGCTTCAAAGAGGAAAACTCTTATGCCTGGACCAAAATGTTGAGAGGAGCACATTTCCCCTTTTTCTCCACATGGAGTGAAAATTTTAAAATCCTATGGGAATACCTAAACTCTCACAGCATTCATTACTTAACAGCATCGCTCTAGGTATTTTTTCTGACCAGTAAACCATAGTGAGATTAGAGCATCATGCCAGAGCTGTTTATCAGCAGAATTCACAAATTCCATTGAATCATCACATTCAACCCTGTTCTCAAATATATTCCAGATACTTAACAAGCATTATTCCACAGCTCAAGTGGTCCCATTGATTAAATGACTAAATCACTGAAGTTAGGTTAGCATATTTGCTGATTTTAGTAAAACGCCATAGAGCATAATACATGGAGAGGAAAAGTTCTTTCTTATAGAAAACTGAGTCATAAACATGAAAGTATTAAATGGAGTTACAAACTCACTAAAGGAAGGTAAAACCAGTAGGTAAAAATATCTGTTAAGAAACAGACTATTTAGTCACAGGGAAAATAAACAATCTAATGCTCAAGAAAACAGAAAAACTCAAATTGAGGAATATTTTCCACAATAATTAATGAGTTCTACAAAAATGCAAAGTCGCAGGATCTTTCTTGGTGAGGTTAAGTCTCCACCTGAGGTGCTGGCATCCCACTCCATTTCTGATCTAATTCTCTGCTAATGTACCTAGGAAAGCAACAGAGCATGGTCTAAGTCCCTGGGCTACTGAGACACGCAGGACAACTGGAAGAAGCTCTAGGCTCCTTGTTTTGGAATGGCCCAGCTAAAGCCATTAGGGAGTCGACCAGTGGATAAAAAATCCTTATCTCTCCATCTGTATTGGTAAATACATTCTTTAAATGAACAAGTCATTAAAGAAAACTCTTGAAGAACATTCCAGATTAAGAGAGATATGAAGAAATCAATCATAAAATCCCAGCATGGATTCTTGGCTGGGAAAAAACAACTTATGAAAGAACAACTCTGGGATACCCCCTGCTGCAGGGGTACTGTTGACCAGACAACAGTGGTATATCACTGAGCTAATAGGGCAAAGCTATACTAACATTAACTGTTTTTTTTCTTTCCCTTTTTAAAAGATTTATTTTTCTTGAAAATGCAGATTTACACAGAAAAAGAGATACAGAGTGAAAGATCTTTCATCCGCTGGTTCATTCCTCCAAGTGGCCACAACGGCCAGAGCTGAGCTGATCTGAAGCCAGAGTTTCTTCTGAGTCTCCCATGCAGGTGCAGGGTTCCAAGGTTTTGCACCCTCCTCCACTCTTTCCCAGGCCACCAGCAGGGAGCTGGATGGGAAGTGGAGCAGTACGCCCACAAACCTGCACCCATATAATATCTCGGTACATGCAAGGCAAGGATTCAGCCACTGAGCTACCACGCAGGACCTACTGTTTCTAACTTGTAAAAAGCACTGAATTACTGATTATAGCCTAAATATCAGAAAAAAAAATGATATTGTCACTCTAACAGCTATATATCCGAGGAAAATATTCTCAGAATATAGAGACTTAATCCTAAGAAACACTAAAAGGTTAGGCTTGGAAACATCAGGTAATCATCATTATCACAATCCTAAAGGAACTATGTATTAGCAGAGTGATTTGTATGTATTTTCTTAGATGGAATTTAAGTGAAAATTTCAACAGAATAAAAAAGGGACTGAAAGTTTTATCAGAAACCTCATAATATAACTGAGCGAAATTTTAAGAACTCCTAACACTCTGGGGCAGGTGTTGTGGCAAAGCAACACCAGCATCCCTTACTGGAGTGCAGGCTTGAATCTCGGCTGTTGCACTTTTTCACGTTCATACTAATGTACGCGACCCAAATAACTTGGCTTCCTGCCACCATGTGGAAGACTAGGGTGGAGTTCCTGATTCCAGCCTTGACCTGGCCCTCATCTGGATAGTGTAGGCATTTAAAGGATGAACCAGTAGATAAAAGATCTCTCATTCTTTCAAACAGAAAACTAAATCTTTAGAATAACCACACAAAAACAAATAATTTTCAGAAGTTCTCCAACGGGACAGTTGGTGTGACACAGATCGATGTTATTTTTTACCAGAGTCTCTACTGTTCTCCTCAGATTCCTCCTCTTCATCATCATCAGAGTATTTTTTCTTTGGGATCTTTCTCCGCAAGCGCCTACTTTGCCTCATTGGCCGTGAGGAGTGTCTCCTCAGTCTGCGGCTGCAGAAATCAGTGTCACTGTCATCATTAGATGGTGGGTCTTCCTCACTTTCATCTGGGTTTTCATCAGACACAACAAACTCATCTTGAGATCTGGCAAGAAAAAAATCCCATCAATTATGAAGGTGCACTTAGAACTGTGAATTCATTTGTTATTGTTTTGAGTTCAAATTCTAGTGAGAAGAGTGAAACATTAGCTAATGTTCAGTGCAGTCTACCTCCCCTGCATATAAAAGGGGGAATTGCCTTACCACTTGTCTTCCTTGGAGGAACTATGAGGATGAACACAGGCTGAGTTTTCTACATAATGTTTTGGCCTTAAGATACACAGGTATCGGGGCCCAGCAAGGTGGCCAAGTGGCTAAAATCCTTGCCTTGAACATGCCAGGATCCCATATGGGCACTGGTTCTAATCCCAGCAGCCCCGCTTCCCATCCAGCTCCCTGCTTGTGGTCTGGGAAAGCAGTTGAGGATGGTCCAAAGCCTTGGGACCCTGCACCTGTGTGAGAAACCCGGAAGAGATCTTGAATCCTGGCTTTGGATCAGCGCAGCTCCAGCCATTGCGGTCACTTGGGTTGTGAATCATCAGATGGAATATCCTCCTCTCTACATATATCTGACTTTGCAATAACAATAAATAAATTAAAAAAAAAAAAAGATACACAGTTATCTCCCTTGTACCTTAAATTCAACATGTCCAAAATTGAGCCTGTGTTCAACCTATTCCCTTTCATATGTTCCATATCCTGGTGTTTGCTGCTATCATCCACCTGGTAACTCAAACCAGAACCAGGGTATTTAGTTTTTCCCATTTCTCAAATTTTATCAGTTAATAACACCTTATATCTACCTCTTAAAAGATCACCTCTGAAAACCTAAACTCTTCCTATCTCAAAGCTTTCCTTTCCCCTAATCTACAACATCAACTCCCCAAAATACTGCATTTCTTCTTAAGATGTTCTCCAAACAAATGCCAGGATAAACCTTTCTGAGCACCTTTCTGAGTCTGGTATAAAACCTTCCAGTGAGGGCTAAAATGATGGCACAGCAGGAAAAGCCTTTAGCCTGTGATATCAGCATCCCAAATGAGTATCAACGTCTATCTCAGATGCTCTATTTTCCACTCAGTTCCCTGCTAATAGAAAAACAGAAGGAGATGTGAAGGAGATGTCTGGGCTTCTGCCATCAACGTGGAAGACCCAGATGAAGCTCCAGGATCTGGCTTTGGAATGGCTCAGCAATGGCCATTGTAGCAATTTAGGTAGTGACCTATCAAATGTAAGATCTCTTGTGTAAACTCTACCTTTCAAATAAATTGGATAAAAAAAAATTATTACTAGTTATTTAATATTCAGAGTTGCTCGAAAATTTGATTAACTGCAGTTGAAGTTTCACTTGTTGTCCTGTGCACCTGTGTGTAAACCTGCATGTCATGGCCTGTGAGGCGCTTCCTATTCACATGTGTAGTTCTCACCTTGTGATGAACCATAAAGCCTGGGGTTGGGACATGGAATCAACAGGGAAGTCAGCTGAGGCTCATGTGTAGAGTCATTATTTAAATAACAAGTCAACTAATGAGGGATATCTGAGTCATATGTACTATTTAGTTTTTTTAAGATTTTATTTTTTTTTCCACTTTGAAAGACAGTTACATAGAGGAGAAACAGAGATTTTCCATCTACTGATTCACTCCCCAAATGGTGACAACTGTTGGAACTGGGTCAATTCAAGGCCAAGAACCAGGAGTTTTCTTGGGATCTCCCTCGTGGGTCCAGGGGCCCAAGGATCTGGGCACCAACCCACTTTTCCAAGGCATGAACATGGAACTGGACCGGAAGTGGAGTAGCTTGGACATGAAATGGTGCCCACATGGGATGTGGCACTGCAGGTAAACGCTTAGTCTATTATGCCACGGTGGCACTATAAACGATCTTATTCTTTACCCTAAAAAGAATAAAAATTAATTTTCCTGAGTCTGCTTTAAAGGATACTAATGTCTGGGGCTAATGCCTGGCATCGGCTCAATGACCAAGTTCCACTTCCAATCTAGTTTCCTGGCAATGTGCCTGGCAAATTGCAGAGGACAGCCCAAGTCCCTGGCCCCCTACACACCCACGGGAGGCCGAGATGAAACTCCTTGGTCTAGGCTTCACACTAGCTCCTCTGTGGTAACTGGAGCCACCTGAAGAATAAACCAGGAGATGGAAGACCTTTCTGTCTCTCCTCCTCTTTGTAAATTTGCCTTTCAAATAAATATATAAATATTAAAACATTATCTCGAAAAATAAAGAAAAAATACACAGAAATTCTATGTATGTACATAGAGAACAGCAGAACCCATGGGAGGGTAGCCACATCACTGGCCTCCCAGGCCTGGAGAAGTTGGCATCTAGGGACTGGGCCCTGCGGAGCACACACCCGTCACTGATCTTGAATTCATCCTCACTCTCCTCTTCATCCAGGTTGCTGTCGCTGTCCAGATCGTTCAGTCGCCGGCGTTTCTTCCGTCGAGCAGCTGCTGCCCTCTGGGGTCGCTTATTTTCTTTTCTTTCTTCATCCAAAATTGTAGAAATGTCTTTACCACGGTGACCTGTAATGGTAGATATATCTTTTCCTCGGCCAACTCCTGCTTTGACAAGTGGGGGAAATAAATACATGTTTTAAAATACATTCCTTAAACTTTACACAACTATTCTTATTAGTTTATAGCACCGCTTTGTATCTGATCATCGTCAGCTGAGAAAGCTCTTAACAGCTGAGAAAGCTCTTAACACGAGAGACTTAGCATTTGTTTACTCTACTGAAGTTGGTGATATAGACAACCTGGCTTTCCATTCTGATAAAGTTTGCATGCTATTCATCCGTATCGAGTGATTACTTTAGGATTTTTGGGTTGGTCATACTGGCGTGCCACAATAACCATTCATTGCAGAATATATCCATTACTTTCTACCGATTAAGAAGTACTCAACACTCTTTTTAGAATTTTCTCATTAAATAGAAACCAGAATGCTGTACCTGAAGCCCTAGTAATTAGATGTTTAGATGTTATTTCACTGCTTTCAAATTTTTCTACTTTAATGACACCTAATCAGGTCTATAAGATTAATAAACCAATGTTAATAGCCAATCAAACCAAAAATTAGGTCTGATTGTATCTAAAAATTAGAAACTCTGAAGCCACAAGGATTACAGAAAGTATTCTCATTTTTCAATTTGAGATCAGAAATTTTTTTTTTTTATCTAAAGAGAACTATTGACATTTGTAGCAGGTCATAAAACAAAGCTATCTTAAAAATAATAAGCAAAATCTGAGACTACATGAATGCATACTGGGGAGGAGACCAGAAAACAAGCTCACTGCTCTCATCTGCGCAGATGGATTAATTTGTCAGAAGAGCAGCATGACAAACACCTACCTCCTCCATCAGCCTCTTTGATATCATCTTCTATAGCTTCATCAATTGCTTCATCAAACTCATCGAACCTAAAACAAACAATGATCTCATTACTGCCTGTCCCTTTGGGCTGCCTTTTTGTTTGCATATTTCAAAAGCAGAGATATGGGGTAAGAGATATTTCATCTGCTGTTTCACTCTCCAAATGCCCACCAAGACTGGAGTTGGGCCAGGCCCAGAATTCATCAGGGTCTCCAAAGAGGGTGGCAGGGTCCCAGGAAACTAAACTGTCATTTACTGCCTCCAAGTGTGTGCATTTGGAGAAAGCTGGACTAGAAGTAAAAAGATCAGGACTAAAATCAGGTACCACGACATGGGATGCCAGCATCCTAAGTGGCATCTTAACTACTGCACTACATACCTGCTTCTGTTTTTATACGCTAGGTGTCTGCTACGGTTTGACTGTTTTGTATCCCTAAAAGTTCACACTTAGGGTACAGTATTTGGTATAGTAGTTAAGACAATGACTGCTATCCCCAACTCACATATTGGAGTGCAGGGTTGTATGTTCTACCTTCACTCAGTTCCAGCCTCTTATACTAATATGCACCATGAACTGGGTCCCCTGCCATCTGTGTGGGAGACTGGAATGGAATTCAGGTTTGTGGCTTTGATATGTTCTTGCTCTGCTGTTGTGGGCATTCAGAGAATGCAAATCTCTGTCACTGTATCTTTCACATAAATAAAAACTAAGAAGGAATCACATAAAGAAATCCCCCTTACGGAACGGGACCTAGATGAATTCTTATTAATGCCTTTGGGGCTGGCACTGTGGCATAGTGGGTTTAGTCACCACCTAGGTGTTAGCATTCTAGATGGATGTTAGCACAAGATGCAGATGTTTCACATTTTCCGGATCTCCCACGCGGGTGCAGGGTCCCAAGACTTTGGGCTGTCCTCGACTCTTTCCCAGGCCACAAGCAGGGAGCTGGAAGGGAAGTGGAGCAGCCAAAATGCGAACCGGTGCCCATATGGGAACACAGACATGCAAGGCAAAGAGTTTAGCCATCATGCTACGCACTGGGTCTCCAGATGTTTCACTTCTAATCCACTTCCCTATTAATGTACCTGGAAAAGCAGATGATCCGACTACTTGGGCCCTTGCAACCAAATAGGAGACTCAGAAGAAGCTCCGGGATCTTGGCTTTACACATTTAGCACTGGCCACTCAAATCACTTGGGAAGTGAAACAGGATGTAAGATCTTTCTGCCTCTCCCTCTCTTGCTTGTGACTCTGCCTTCCAGACAAATAAAAGATTAACGCCCTTGTGAAATACACCAGAAAGCTCTCTCACTTGTTTCACTATGTGGTTATAGTCAAGATGGTATACATGAAGCTGGCCCTCCTCACAACACCCCATCTGTATCCTCTCCCCCTCCCACATGGAAGCACGTCAACACAGAGAAGATGCCACCTCTGGATAAAAAGCTATTCCCAACAGATCGCAAAGCTATCAATGACCGACCTTGGACACTGTAGCCTCTAGAATTATGAGAAAAGAAACTGTCATTTACAAGCTGCCAGAGCATTGTTATTTTGTTATAGCAACCAGAAAACATGAGGATCATGTCAGAAAAAGCTTTTTTTTTTTAAACGTTTATTTTTATTGGAGAGCCAGATATACAGAGTGAAAGGAGAGACAGAGAGAAAGAGCTTCAGCCTGATGATTCACTCCCAAAGTGGCTGCAATGACTGGAACTGAGCCAATCTAAACCCAGGAGTGAGGAGCTTCTTCCAGATCTGCCATGCGGGTGCAGGGTCCCAAGGTTTTAAGCCATCCTAGATACTTTCCCAGGACACAAGCAGGGAACTGGACGGAAAGTAGTGCTGCTGGGACAGGAACTGGTAACATGTGGGATCCTGGCACATTCAAGGCAAGGATATTCAAGACAAGGACACTAGGCTACCATATTAAGCCTCAGAAAAAAATTTTAAAGGACCAGATAAAAGCATCTTAGGTTTTTCAGGCTATACATACAGTCTGCTGTAACCACACAACCCTGACACTGCAAAGAAAAAGCAGTTATAGCTAGCTTGTAAGGAAATAAATACAGCTTTTTCAATAAAATGCTATAAACACTGAAATCTGAAGTATATGTTATTTTCTCAATCATCTGGGAATACTATTCTTTTTCTTTTTTGAACCATTTATAAATGCAATCATTGTTCTTGGCATGAAGACATTTGGCCTAGCAGTTAAGATATCACTGTCTCATACGGAAATTTCTGGGTTTGATTCCTGCTCCAGCTCCAAGTTCCAGCTTGCTACCAATGCAGACCCCAGAGGGATATCAGGTGCCGGCTCAATTCTGAGGGCTTCTGCCACCCTATGCTCCTGGCACAGCATCTATGAGTACCTGGGGAATGCACAGAAGAATGTGTGCTGTTTCCACTCATGAAATAAGAAAATACAACCACACATAGGTCACAGTAAACACTGGAGGAATGGGTCCTGCCATATGGTTAAATCCTTGCCTTGCACGTACCAGGATCTCAGATAGTAGAGGAAGGCCTTTAGAGTTGGGACCCTGCACCTGCGTGGGAGACCTGGAAGAAGCCCCTGGCTTTGGATCAGCTCAGCTTCAGACACTTCTGCCACAAGAGGAATAAACTAACAAAAGGGAAGATCTTTCTGTCTCCACTTCCCTCTGTAAATCTGCTTCTCCAATAAAAATAAATACATCAATCTTACAAAAACACCCACAAAACTTGAGGAATAAGCTAGGTTTGCTTCACACTCATTATTACACACTTTACATAAAAAAGAACAAGAGTTGCAGTCCACAAATAATATTGTCAGTACTTATTAAATAAGACTTCTTTTACTTCAGGGCTTAGGTAACCTAAGGGATAAGTTAATTTACCAAAAATTATGCAAAATTTGGAATTATGGCTTGGGTGAATGTTTATAGATGCATTAAGTAACCTTTAAAACTGTTCCTCATTACCCAGCTTGCAAGTACTCAATAGTCATAATTGGTCATGGCTACCAAAGTGGACATCGAGAAGATGCAACATCACAGTAATTTTCAAGATTTATATATTTTTATTGGAAAGGCAGATCAGATTTACAAAGAGAATGAGAGACAGAGAGAAAGATCTCCCATCTGTTGGTTTAGTTCCGAAGTGGCCATAACAGCTGGATCTGAGCCGATCTTAAGCCAGGAGCCTGGGGCTTCTTCCAGGTCTCCCACATGGTTACAGGGACATTTTCCACTGCTTTTCCAGGACACAAGCAGGGGGCTTGGTGGGAAACGGAGTAGAGCAACCAAGAAATGAACCAGTGTCCATATGGGATTCTGGTGCTTGCAAGGTGAGACTCTAGCCATTGAGCCATTGTGCTGGGCCATCACAGTAATTCTTATTTCAATGGATTACCAACATCAGGACTAAAAGTTGGGGGCAGCACTGTGGCACAGCAGATTAAGCTGTCTATGTGATGCCCTCATCACAGATGGGCAAGTCCCAGCTGCTTCAATTCTAATCCAGTTTTCTCCTAATTTGGCCAAGAAAATAGTAAAAGATGGTTGAGTATTTTGGGTCTTCTACCATCATGGAGAAGTAGATGGAGTTCTTGGCTCTTTGCTTCAGCCTAGCCCTGCTCTGAATACTCCAGCTATTTGGACAGCCTGGATCTCCATGTGGGTCGCCTATGTCAGTGTAGGGAACAAGACATTTGGGCCATTTTTAGCTGTTTTCCTGCACACACTGGCAGGGAACTGGATTATAAGTGGAGTAGCCAAGACTGGAACTAATGCTCATTTGTAATGTTGTCATTTCAGTGCAGGCCCAACTGCCTTGGCTAAATGTTGGCCGCAAAATTTATTTGTTTTATCACAAAGTTAGATATACAAAGAGGAGGAGAGACAGAGAGGAAGATCTTCTGTCCCATGATTCACTCCCCTAGTGAGCACAACGGCCAGTGCTACACTGATCCAAAGCCAGGAGTCAGAAAATTCTTCCAGGTCTCCAACGCGGGTGCAGGATCCCAAGGCTTTGAGCCGTCCTCGACTGCTTTCCCAGGCCACAAGCATGGATTGAAAGCAGGGTTTCCAGGATTAGAACAGGTGCCCATATGGGATCCCTGCACATTCAAGGTGAGGACTTTAGCAGCTAGGCCATGGTGCCGGGCCAAAATTAAATTTTGTAAAGGTTATTTAGTATCTAAATTATCACTAACGATGTATCATTACTTGGTTAAAACAGTTTCTTTCCAATCCTTTAGTAGCTGCTATGGTATGAAAAACAGTTCTGTAGTTGTAGTCTGATTTTTTTCAGAATAAATTCCTGAGAAAATACAAATGTGCAAATCTATTCCTCATGGTAGAATAAGATACAGACACAGCCCACATACAGTTAAATGAAAACCGCCTTTGCACCGATGGCATATTGGAGTGGAAAAGTATCAAAACAATTTATTTGAGTAGCCACTGGTTTCTAACCCAAAGGAACTTTCTAAAATGTCTGAATCAGAGACAGTTGAATTATATCAGTAAGAAAGAAATATCACACTCTCACATGGATGACATGACTGAAACTCCTGGCTTCAGCCTGGCGCAGTCGGGGCTGTTGCGGCCATGTGGGGAATGAACCAACAAATGGAAGATCACTCTATGTCTCTCCCCACCCCTTCTGTGCAATTTAAACATGAAATACATAATTACTTAAAAATAATAATGAAATAAAGCAAAAAAAGGGAACAAATCCTTATCTCAAGAGCTATAAAAATTTGACAAAGGATGTCAAATACAAAAAGGTAGCATAAGCAGCGTTCACTTAGAAATGATTAAATATGTGATTAAGTTATTTAACTACTCCTAGCAGTTACTTAAAGCAGCCACAACTGGGGCCAGCTTGCTGGCACACTGTATTAGCCTATGGCACTGACATCCGCCAAGACCATGAATGGGATTTCTTTTTTCTCTACTTCCAGTCCAGCCCCATGTAAATGTGCACAGAAAAGCAGCTGTGAAGATGGCTGAGTGCCTCAGTCTTTGCCATGGAAGTGAGTGCCTCGGGCAGGGTTCCAGGCTCAAGTATCTAACCCCCCACCCCTAAGCACCGGCTCCCATACGGGTAACAGTTCATGTCCTGGCTGCTCCACTTCCCATGCAGTTCCCAGCTTGTGGCCTACGAAAGCAGTGGCGGATAGACCAAGGCCTTAGGTTCCTGGATCCATGTGGGACAAACAGAATAAGTACCCGAATTAACATGGCCCCTGTTTTGGCCATTGCAACCATTGAGGAGGGGTAAGCCAGTGGATAGAAGACCTCCCTCTATCTCTACCTTTCTCTCTGTTTACTTTAACTTTGACTCTGAAGGAAAACAAATCAATCTTTAAAAACAGGATTATCCATGTAGGTTATATACAAACATTGTGTCACTTTATATGGATTAGCCTATCTTTGGAACACCAAAGAACATTTATTAGCACCCAGGTAGAAAAAGCATACAACAGTTGGCCATGCTGTCACAGTATAGAAACATTCTATACTCTTTCCCTTAGAACCACTCCCATATATTTCATACCTGTAACTAATACATTTCCGTGTTCTTGTTGATCTCCTTTCCAGTAAGTTAACTTTGGTCTTTTTAGAATCTTTTTTCTTTTCTTCTTGATCTTCGGAAAAATCCGGTTCCTTTAAAAAAAATACTAAATTGGTGGGTATGACAGAACAAAGTTTCTTTGAGTTTACAATTTGGTATTCTCCATCTAGGGTGCACATTTGAAAACGTAAAGTTTGAGATGATCTGCCTGCCCAAAACCTATAAAATATGTAAATTTTAACACACTGATTAAAAACAGAATGCTGGTGATAGAAACACTTTTGTATTAAAATCCACAGTTTCATAAGTTTACAAATACCTGCTTTAAAACAGTCAATAATTAAATCTGAAATATTATTTATGTTCAGTGAATGAAATAATCTATACAAAGGGGGATATGATGCTGAAGGAAAGTAACTGAACAGGTTAAGCCTGGGACTCGAGTATGAGTGATATTGCTTCTGACATGGAAGGAAATTTCTTCATAATACAAGCACTTGCACTTATGAGATATCTTTGTGTACTCTAAACTAGACTAAATAAACTCAACTGCTTTGCTGGAAGTTTTAACTGGAATTTTAATAATCTCCAAAATAGACTATTAAAAATCAAATCTCATTTAATCATTTATTCTTCAGCTATTATTAACAGCAAATGAAAAACAAAAAAATAAATGATGCAATTTAGGGTCAAAATAATGGAACATACAGTCCAAGCAGATCAACTATATAAATTTATAGGTTAGGGGGAGTTACCTGTACAGCTTGAATTTCAATCATGAGATTACACACAGATTCTTTGAGGCTTGAAGTTATTTTAATAAAAATCACTGCACTATTATATTAATATAATTAGTTAATAATATAATTATAGTAATTCTACAATCAACATTATACTGTTTCAACTATTCATATTATATTAACGCAGGTCAAATTTTCAAATAATTATCTCCTTTAAAAATCTTGCAAATCAGGAAGTTACCTGTGGAGGAATGATGTTTTCAATACTGATACCAACATACACCAAGCGTTCTTTCCTTTGGGGAAAACAGAAACACAAAACATGAGATATGTTCAAATGAAATTGTTATGAAAATATTACTAATGCAAGCAATAGTAAAATTGCAATTTCATGGTAACAACACAGCCTGTAGTTAGCTGCTCCCCATTTGACATGTTTGGTGAAAGGGAAGCACAAAATATCCACATGATATGAAAACTCTTAATTTTAGAAATAAGTTATGCTGGTGAAATAAAACCTACAGTTGAAATAGAAAAGGAAGCATTGTGAAGAGTCAGGCCATGACTCCTTGGTGATTTATTAAACAAGCAAGGCATCATTAATTAACAGAATTCTGACACATTGTTCACTAATCTTTCCCCCTTTACTTGTAAACACTCTTTAGTTATAGATGGAAATAAATTTAATCTTCCCTACAGGAAGAAAATAATATATACCAGTAGCTGGATACCTGAGTGTTGATGTCGCTGTCCTGCAAAGTCTTGCTTGTGTACACAACAATCCCACAGATATTGGTTATAAAGTTATTCAATAAAAAACTTACATGTAACAAAATAATAAAATGATTGTTACCAAATAATAAAAGTATCACATTCTTAATGAATTAGTAACTAAGATTAGGTCCGAAAGTGTGTCAGGCTTGGGAATCCACAGGTAAATGAGATATGGTTCCTGCCTCATAATTATTTAATAGTAACCTCAGACTTTTATTAACATGTGTAACTTAAACATGAAAATGGTATGGATTCATTCGTCAAAAGAACTGAGAAGTCTGGGATCCTAAAGGCAGGAATAGTTTTTCTAATCCTAGGAAAAGATAAGTCATCTGTTATATACATTATCGAGCTCACAGATCACATTTGGCCCATCACTTTACCTATACCAACAACCACACTCCTTTAAAAAAAGTTCAGGTATCTTAGACTCTGACTTCTATTGGAAATTCAAATTCACTTGCAGGTTCTCTTCCTTATCCATCTTGATTCCAGCAGGACGTCTACCAGTGCCCATATCCTATAAACCATCTGTCATTCCCTTCTTACCCTTACTTTCCCCAAGACTCCATGCTCTACCATTAGAAATACTACTTTACCTAACTTCCAAACTCCTTGTCTCTGTCACTCCTTCACTCTACTGTATTACTGGAAAAAAATTCTACCTCTGATTAAATCCAACTTACTGTTATGTAAAACATTTTGAAATCCCTGCATCAGAGGGATGTTTAAAAAGCTAATCTTGAAAAAACTATACACACATTTCAGACTTTTTGCAGCTCTCTGTATTTCCTCACGCTGAAAGCATAGCCTAAAGTAGGAATGAGTAAATGTTTAAGGGTTAAGTAAGTTAAATGAGGGAAAATAATGGCAACAAGGGGCAAAAAGCTTTTGTACTATAATGAACAGGGGAAGGCGCTAAGCTGCTAGGAGGAGGGACAGAAGAGTGGTTTCACAGAGTTTCAAAAAGAATGAATAAAAATTCTACTACCAACAGATAAATTCACTTAGAATTCAGTGACTATCTACCTCAGAAATGTACATATTTTGCTGTTAGATGCTCCTAAGAATCAGGTGTTCAAGAGCTTTAAGTAACAAACACTAGCAACAATTCACTAGCTATTGGTGTTGTGCCACACTGGTTTTCATGTTACAGTAACTTTGTTCACCTTTTTATGACACAGTCTCTCCTGGACTCTGTGATGGATCTAAAAATACATAACTACAGATGTTCCCTTAGGGGATGATATTTACGAAAGGGAATAAGAGGAGGAAAAAAGCAATAACCACTAAATGGGAGATAAATAATATAAGCAAATGTTGTGGCCTATTTTAATAAATTCCTAAAATGTAAAGTATTTTATAGTTGCAGTGGCATATCTTACAGTATATGAGGCCATTATAAATATTTTTGACTAACCCTTTCCAAACAGAGAGTATCAACATCATATGCCTTTGAAGAACAAGTACATGTAATTTGAATATTAGACAGAAATTCTCTCTCTCTCTCTCTCTCTCACACACACACACACACACACACACACACACACGTATTTCAGAGGTAAGAGACACAGACATTAGAAAATGAGCTCTCATCTGCTGGATGACTCTGAATTCTGACAATGGCTGGGACTGGATGGCTTAAGCCAGAGCAGGAAGTTCAATCCAGGTCCCTGAAGTGGGTGGTAGAAGCCTAGGTGAGTGATCACCAGTCTTACCATTGACAAGCAGCTGAGAAGCACCAAGCTAGCAACTGAACCTAGGTACTATGAGCTGCGATGTGGGCGTCTCAACTGCTGTATGAACTTTTGCTTAACTGTCAGTCCCCTCAACTTTCGTTAGTTTATATACTTGGCTATTAAAATATATTCATTTTCAGGCCCTTGCTAGGTGAGTTCATTAGCTATCTTTACTGCTAATTCAAATCAGCATCAAAATTTTTTTTAGCTGTCAGAGGACAGGCAAATTTGACAAAGTGTTAAGGAAAAGGAAGGTCCAAGGATTGTGATTTCATCTGAAGCACCTTTACTTAGACTTTCCATAGTCAAAATTCTGCATGTCCAAATAGTGCCAATAATTGCATACATCTGAAAATGTCCTAGGGATGATCCTGCAAATATTTTAAACACAGATGTTCATTAAAAACAACAACAACAACAACAACAAAAAATCCACACCAGGCCTATTAAAATAAAAAATATTTAGACAATCGATTTTTAAAAGAGTCATGTGTTTTAATTCCAAGTCATTAGCTTGCTTTAAGTTAAATAGCACTGATTATAAACAGACTGCCCACATGAAATAATAAAAAATAAAACCCAACTCAACCCAGCACACATTCTGGGAGTTGGAGCCATGTCTAAAGTTCACCCTTAGGGTAAAGTGAGTGGAAACAGACACTGAATTAAAGAAGTGTAGCAGAGAGTACCAAGGCCAATTAGGAAATGACTTTGAGTATACACATTGGTATTAAATCTGACATAATCCTGTGAAACTCTTCTCCAAAGTCTCCATTTAATCACAACGACTACCCTTGTTAAGGTCTCTGAAACTACCGCAGCACCCCCTACTCATACTCCTTCTTGCTATTACCAGAGCAATATTCTGATGGCTTCCTCACAACCTATTGAATAAGTCAAATAGCCAGCAAGGTTTGTAAGGCCGTTCATAATCTGGACTCACTGCTTCCCAAGGACTCTCGCTCCTCAACATTCTTGCATTGGCCCACTTAGCTGCCACTTGCATTTCTCTTCATTTTCACCCATATGACCCCAATTCCTAAGAGAACCTAAATGCTATCCCACATATTATTATGAATCTGCTTCAAGTTTTCTGTTCTATTATATCATTGGTTCATGGGTCTGTATTGAGTGTTAAGTATCATGTAAGTAGGAACTCTGTCCTATTCTTTTTCCAGTTTGGCACAGGGTAGGTGCAAATGAATGGCAGAAATCAGACTTATTAGGTAAAAGTAACAAATACAAACATAATGTCCAAATTCTGAAACAAGTTTTAAAGATGGTTTTACATTTTTAAAGCAAGCCTGACTTCCTCTAAGAAGCCTATTCTAACTGTGTCAGGCCCCACTGTTATGGCCTATTGAAGAGGGAGGCATCTCTTAAAGACACAGACCAGCCTTAAAATATTCTGATTCCATCAGTGTTAATTCTGCCCACCCAAAGAAATGACATTGGGTAACCAAACCATGGATGAGGTTTCATAGTTTTCTTATATTTGCTACAGTGCTTAGGTAGAGGGTTCTCTGATAATTGTGCAATATTAATTCATAGCAGCGGTGGGCAAAGTTTTCTGTAAAAGGGCAGATAAAAAAAAATACTGCAACCTTGGCGGGTCACAGTGTCTCTGGGGAACATCGTATTCTGTTGCTATAGGTCAGAAGCAGACACACACAGCACAGAAACCTGTGAAACAAAAGGAGCAAACAAAAAGAGCAAAACTGATGTTGCAGGAAAAAGTCATTTTATGGACAATGAAATTTTAACATATCATGATTTTCATGGGACAGGTATCTAGTGTTGACTCTTTTTAACCATTGAGACATACAAACCATTCTTAAGGAGTATAAAAACAACTGCATGCCAAATGTGCCTACAGCTTGGTTTTTCCGATCCCAGCTTTAAATTGATGCGCTCACCTATACTATAAGATGAATCTGTTGTCAAATTTCCAGATAAAACATTAACACCCATTTCTGAAATACCTTCGTTCAGCACGCTCCTTCTTCTTTAAGGCCACATCCAAATCTTGCAACTGTTCCTCTAATTTTTCACACAAGAGTTTCTGAGGGAGCAAAACATATGTCATTTTAATACCTTTCTACAATCAGTTATGATGTATACATTCAGGTCACGAGTATTGCACTATACAGTCAATGAACAGAAACCTTTCCCTGTGTCTGATAAAGACAGAGTTCAACAGTCAATGAACAAAAGATGTATTTTTAAAATAAATTACCCCTAATAGCTTTGCCAAAACAAAATATAAGACAAAAAACCATCCTTAGGCCTATATCGCTGGCAGCAATTCATTTTTAAATTAGCATGTGATTTAACACTATATGTAACACTAACTACATTGTTTCTATATTAAGCATATATATATATTTGCATAATAAAATACAGGGGCAAAACGATGTAAATAATGTACGGTACAATGCCACATGGCATTGGACCAAAACAGAGATGAAAAATGTAACTAATCAAATTCTGCTAAGTCCATTTGACTGAAGAAATACATCAAAATGGTTTTTATTTCATGTACTCTTTTTTTTTAAGGGTTTATGGGTTCTTTAACATTCATTTTTATTTATCTGAAAGGCAGAGAGACAGCGAGAGGGAGCTAGACAAAGATCTCCCACCTTGTGTTTGAATCCTACAGTCTCTGAAATAGCTGAGTCTGCTCAGCACCGAGAGGAGTTGGTACACCTATCAGGGCTCAGCACCCGTTAACAAAGGAAAAGAGAAACAGAGACAGAGGATGACACAAAGTGATGTTTCCCTATCTACATCTCAACCTCCTGCTCCTTGTGCTTCTGAGAAATCAGGGGTAGGTGCAAAGAGGTAAGTTCATGAACACAGATGCCTGCAAAAAAGCAAAGGAAGACCTAAAAGATATTAATAAAAGAACATCAAATGGCGGATGATGCCGAAGCAATAGGAGGCCTGGGAAGCACCCTCCCCCCAAAAAACGGCATGACTTCTAACAAGTAGCAGACATTTTAAAAAAGCTGCTTTGAAGAGTGAAGTTTTTTTTTTTTAAAGTGATAATTAAAAGGTATCATCAGTTTTAATAGAAAACCAGAGGCTGGCTGGGGGCTGGGCATACATGTTGGCAAGGCGGGCAGAACCACTCTCCGTCAGGGATGATCATCAGAGGAGGGCGAAGACAAGCAGTGTGGTATCCACTGTCACAGGAGTCACACAGGAGGATCTGAAAGAAAAAGACACAAGTCAACCCAGCTCAACTACTCATGTTCAAGGATTCCTACTGTTAAGAGACAAACATTGCAACACTTCTTAGGACTCTACTGCAAAGCTAATGCATAAAATACTGTGGATAATTACAAACTTACATCAGTTTCAAAAAAATATAAAAGAACAAAAATTTTTCAAAACTAAGAAAATGTTTTGTCTTCAACTGTACTTATTTTGATTTATTTGAAAGGAAAAAACAAGAGTCAGAGAAAGAGACATCTTCCATGCATTAATTTACTCTTCATAGGCCCACGAATTCCAGAGTTGGGAATTAGATTCGGGGGTCCCATAAGGGTGGTGGGGAACCAAGCACTGGAAGGATCACATGCTGCGTCTAAGGGTATGCTTTTGCAGGAAGCTAGACTGAAAGCAGAAGCACACTGGCATGGGACGCCGGCTCCTGACAAAGGAATTTAATTCTTATACTGCCCACTAAAAAATGTTAAGCTACCCGAGCTGGTGCGATGGCCATACTAGCTAATCCACCACTTGCATTCACTGATATCCCATATGGGCATTGGTTGTGTCCCTGTTGGCTCCACTTCCCTTCCAGCTCCCTGCTTGTGGCCTTGAGAAAGCAGCTGAGGATGGCCCAAAGGCTTGGGATCCTGTAGCTGCATGGGAGACAGGGAAGAAGCTTCTAGCTCTGGATGGGCTCGGCTCCAGCCAGTATTCTTGGTTCCTTATCCCATGAAAACTCAAAAAGGGAAAGGACTGAGGTATAGAAAAGGAATGGGCCTGTATTCAGAAGGCTGCTGCCCTACGACAAAGACCACTAACAACTGATCGGAAGGTTGTATGCTCATGGCTATTTCAATCTAAGATGATCAGATTCATAAAATGTAACACAGCATATGCTTCAATGCCTAACGTTAAAAAGGAGAATCTCTAAAAATAATCTTAGAATTCTGGAGGATTTTTTCCCCATGAAATTTTCATGTATCCTTCATGCAGTTTTCACAATGTTAATATCTCATCTAATTAATGACATTTACCTTAGCCAAGATATAGACACATATATGTGTATATATGTCTCTATATTTTAAAAAAAGGTTTACTTATTTTTATTGGAAAGTCAGATTTACAGAGAGAAGGAGTGATAGAAAAATCTTCCATTTGCTGGTTTGCTTCCCAAATGGCCACAAGGATTAGAACTTGGATGATCAGAAACCAGGAGCCAGGAGCTTCTTTTGGTTCACCCATGTGGGTGCAGGTCCCAAGACCTTGGGCCATGCTTAACTGCTTTCCAAGGCCACAAGCAGGGAGCTGGAAGGGAAGTAGAGAAGCCAGGATATGAACCATTGCCCTTATGGGATCCTGGCAGATGCAAGACGAGAAGTTTAGCTACTAGGCCTGAGCACGTAAGCCAAAATATTAACATGAATATAACATAAAGGCTTACAAAAATTTTCACTTCTTCAGATTCTGAATCCTAGATACCATCTTGTATCTAATCATGTTTCATTAGTTTCATCTGATATGTAGCAGTTTCTTGGTCTTTGTGTATCATGTCTTTGAGTCTGAAGAGTATTAATTAGATACTAGACAGTCCCCGAGTTCAGGTTAGTTCATTATTTTCCCATCACTACACTGGGGTTATAGTTTTTGGAGACAAATAATACAGAGGTGAACAATCCTGCTCAACGCAGCATATCAGGGGGTTTATGATGCCAATACAACTTACTACTGGTAAGTAGTAAGGCTCAAAGCCTTGGGACCCTGCAACTGCGTGGTAGACATGGATAAGTTCCTGGATCCAGGCTTCGGATCGGCATAGCATGGGCTGTTGAACTCACTTGGGGAGTGAATCATCAGACAGAAGATCTTCCCCTCTGTCTCTCCTCCTCTCTGTATATCTCACTTTCCAATAAATAAATAAATCTTAAAAAAAAAAAAAACAGCCTGAAGCTGACCGGTATTTGCATATCAAAAGGCTGACCTTGCAGGACTGGCTTAGCCAAGTCCCATCCCCCTAAAACAGCAGAGCAGAGGCATCCCCTACCTGCTCCAAGGACACTTTGTTGATAAAGCCCTGGGGAGAATTTCAGGAATTCCATGCCCAGTAGTATCTCAGGGAAGGACAAGGAGAAAAGGAAGGCCCAAAGACATCCAAGAAACCCTAGCCCAAAGCAGGCTGGGGGCTCAGGTCTCCTCCCACACAGCAGTGACTCAGGCGAACTCAGTAAACTGAGCCTCTTTTATGAAATTCAGGCACCTTGCTTTCCACTCTGCCTCACATCTGAATGCTTTCTGGTGTGAAGACAACCACCTCTGAGCAGCCTCTCCAATAATCCTACAGAGTGGGTCAGCAGAGAACTAGAGCAGTTCTGAGGCAATCTGCACCTCCAAATGTCATCTGTATTTTTTCCTGGGTTGTTACCTTGTTACTGGCAACCAAAAACTCTTTGCCAAAATTTTATGGAGACAAAGGCTAGCACACTAAACCAGGAAGCATATTCTACAACAGTTTGAGGCCGAGTTATCTTCTTTCAAGGCCCTCTTGGCACTCCCTGCCATGCCTGACCACCCAGTGTCTGTTTACTGTCCCTCTCTGTTGGCTCGAATGTCAGGAACTAGGGGGAATTTTTCTTCTATTCAGGTGAGTAGCCTTAATGTTTTTTGCTTTTGATTTCTGTTTTGCTTGCTTGGCTTGGGGGCTTTGTGAACTCCAGGCCTGATAGTTTACTTGAACCTGACAGGTCTCCTAGGCAGAGCACTCCTCAGGAAGGAGGCCCTGGGGTGCTTGTTAGGTAAGACTTGCTCACTATCCCAACAGACCACCAGTTTGTACTGTTTTAAAGTTACTTGCATCGGGGCCTGGCGCAGTGGCGCAGTGGTTAAGGTCCTCACCTTGCACGCCCCGGGATCCCATATGGGCGCCTGTTCTATCCCAGCAGCCCCGCATCCCATCCAGCTCCCTGCCTGTGGCCCGGGAAAGCAGCAGAGGACAGCCCAAAGCCTTGGGACCCTGCACCCGCGTGGGAGACCAAGAAGAGGCTCCTGGCTTCGGATCGGCATAGCATCGGCCGTTGCACTCACTTGGGGAGTGAATCATCGGACGGAAGAACTTCCTCTCTGTCTCTCCTCTCTGTATATCCGCCTTTCCAATGAAAAAAATAATAAAAATAAATCTTTAAAAAAAAAGAAAGTTACTTGCTTCAAACCCATCAATAGAAGCCTACCAACTTGCTCTTTTTAAAACTTAACAGTTAAACTGACCGATCATGACGCTGAAATTGTGCGGAACTGGCCTGAAATGTGTAAAAATTCTGTGCTGTCCAACTTCGGTCCTTCTTCTGGCCTGCTGGTACTATGGCTACTACTGCTGCTGTCATGTCCCCAGTCCCGCTGAGCTGGGTGATGGCTGGCAGCCTAGGTTAATCTGAGTAAACCGCCCTTATGCGTTTGCATCAACTTCAGACTCCTGATGATTTCTGGGGATCTCAAAATTCTGGGCATAATACAGGCAAGGCCCAAGACCTGGTTTCAGTCAGCCATTCCTGCTAAAGAGTGTCAAAGACCTCAATTCCCATCTCTATCAGCACTTTAAAAAGTTCTGGCAAAAACAAATTCTCTTAACCTGTTGTTTCTACCATGTTTTTCAAATATCTTAGTTTTTGCTACAGATTATCAAATGTGGGATTCTAGGGGATACCAGCCTTGTTTTAACCTGTATGCCACAATCAAGGCCTCTGAAAGGTTTTTTTTTTTTTTAAAGATTTTATTTATTTTTACAGGAAAGTCAGATATACAAAGAGGAAGAGAGACAGAGAGGAAGATCTCCAGTCCAATAATTCATTCCCCAAATGACCATAACATCAGGAGCTGAGCTGATTCTAAGCCAGGAGCCAGGAGTCTTTCCTGGGACTCCAAGCTGGGTTCAGGGTCCCAAGGCTTTGGGCCATCTTTGACTGCTTTCCCAGGGCAAAGCAGGAGCTGGACAGGAAGCAGGGCTGCAGGGATATGAACCAGCGCCTATGTGGAATCCTGGCGCATTCAAGGCAAGGACTTTAGCAGCTAGGCTACTGTACCAGGCCTGTCTCTGAAGGTTTTTTCCCTTCTAAGTTACAACATTTTTCCTGAGATTTTCAGCATCTAACTAAAAAAAAAAAAAAAAAAGAGTGAACCATGAGATGGAAGACTCCCTCCTACTCTTACTTTCTTGTTTCTCAAATCTTTCAATGAGTTTCTCTTTGGAGGTACTGAAGATTAAGTTAGGATGTGAACTGAAGGAAACAAAGGAGTGGGGGAAGATACTGTTATCTGCTGATTTAAACCCAGAAGCACGGGCTGACCTATCCTCTAGGAGTTTTATCAGAGGATATATCCTGAATGTTAAGTTGCTTCTCGGAGGAAGAGAGTAGTACTCATGGATGCTCTTTCCTTGCTCTTAAGACCAGGGCTTGGGCAGGCCCAAGACAGGGAGTCAGACTGCTTTCCTGTGCCCACATTCTTGCTCACAAACCTCCCTTTGCAAACCTCTTCCAGAGACTTACACGTTCTGGCACTAAGGGTTAACCTCTACCTCCTCTCCCTCACGCTCCACCTGAGGAGGGGACTATAAGGAGTCCCTGTAGGGTCTTCCCACAGCGAGTTCCTACTCCTGCTGGGGACAGGAAGCTTTAGGAGCCACTTGGAAACTGCTGTGATGTCTTTCCACACTCTGGGTGAGATAAGAAAAGGGAAGAAGCTACTTGATTTGCTCAACACTATTATGCAAGTAGTTTCTGAAATTCTAACCCATACCATGAGGAAAGTGATAAAACAGAAACCTTTCTCCCTTCTTCACAGAATGTATTAGCACTTACTTCTCATTCCCAGAGTATATTTCAGTACTAAGTAGTACTAGCATTGCACTTTAGTTACATGGTGAGGAGTTACAAGGGTTAATAGGCTCTAAGGAAAGACTCCTGAGGAAGTGAGACAGGGGCAAGGTCCATGCCAAGTATGAGGAAGAAAACACTGCTTTTCCTGGCTTTCGGAATTTATTAGATAGGCTCAGAAATGTACCCTGACCCAGGGATAAGCAGAGACCCATAGATTGCTGACTGGACATAAATTGTTTCTTTTCCTTCCTTCCAGCCTCCTCCTCCTCCTTCTTAAAAAAAACAAAAAAAATTGAAAAATTAGATCTGCAGAGAAAAGGAAACAAAGAGATCTTTTATTAGCTGGTACATTTCCTAAATGGTCACAACTGCCGAGCTGAGCTGATCTGAAGCCAGGAGCTTTCTCCAGTTCGCCCACGTAGGTGCAGGGTCCCAAGGACTTGGGCCATCCTCTGCTGCTTTCCCAGGTCATAGCCAAGGAGTTGGATAGGAAACGGAGCAGCCAGGACTTAAGCTGGCACTGTTATGGGACACTAGCATTGCAAGGTGAAGGATTGTCTGTTGAGTCACTGTGCCAGCCACTGGATATAATCTGTATTCCGGCCACCTTGATTGATTGTTACCCCTGTCTTCTTGATTGCAAGGGCAGGCACATCACAGCTGATAGAGAAAACATCCATAACTAAATCAGGTAAGATGAAAGCAGGAGTCTGATGCTTAACCTCCCTGAAACTGGGTTATTAACTGAGAAACATAAAGAAAGGTTAGGGCCCGGCGCGGTGGCGCAAGTGGTTAAAGGTCCTCGCCTTGCACGCCCGGGATCCCATATGGGCACCGGTTCTAATCCCAGCAGCCCCGCTTCCCTTCCAGCTCCCTGCCTGTGGCCTGGGAAAGCAGTTGAGGACAGCCCAAAGCTTTGGGAACCTGCACCCGCGCGGGAGACCAAGAAGAGGCTCCTGGCTTTGGATCGGCATAGTATCGGCCCGTTGCGCTCACTTGGGGAGTGAATCATCGGACGGAAGATCTTCCTCTCTGTCTCTCCTCTCTGTATATCCGCCTTTCCAATGAAAAAATAATAAAAATAAATCTTTAAAAAAAAAAAGGTTATGTTGCAGCACCATAAGCCCTGTGCAGTATTTGAAAATTCAAGTCACGACCCAGCGTAGAAGGCTGCTTCCAGTACCCACTGCACACCTATACATAAATGCTGTTAATCTACTGTAAGCACGTACGAGTTCAGGATGGTTTGGGAGGCCACACTTTTTGCAAGGTTCATCATCATCTGCAACAATGGCTTCTTCACTCCCCTTCTCCTCTTCCTCTTCTGAAGCTGCAGATGACTTTTCACTGTCAGACCCTTCACTCTCATCATTACTGGAGTATTTCCACCTGCCGCGTGTTCGAGAACCAGTCCATCGAACTTTGCCTTTGGGTTTTACCTTGTATAAAACAAAAAGTTGGGATAATTCCATGTAAGAATTTTTTGTTGCAATACACAATGTCTGATTACAGGTCCACTGATGGATATTTTAGTCAAGATACAAGGAAAAAAATGTAAATTATTACATTCTCATCACCAACATCTACAATTAAATTTTAGTATATTATGAAAAGTTTTTCTGTATTTGAACTTTTAGAATATAATTATAATGACCTAGTCTGTAGAATGTGCCACCACATAACTGTGATTTATCTAATCACCTATGACATTTAGGCAGCTGTTTCCCATTTTTTCACTTTTATTAAAAATATATCCTTTTACATTTTTGCACATTTATGGATAGGATAAATTCCTTGAAGAGGATTCTGGGTCAAAGGCCATGCACATTTTAAACCTCAAAAACAGAAAGATGGATACTCACTGTGGTATACAAAATTGAAATCAAGCATTAAAGATAAATTTTAAAAGTGTTAAAGGCCAGAATTTCTACAAATAACAACTTTGACAAACTTAAAAAAAATGACAAACTAAAAATATCTCAAAGTCCACAATTTTGTTAACTGTTTTTGTCTAATTTCTCTATCTTTTCACATCTATTTATAAGTTCATTTCCATTTTATAGGTCTCCAGTAAATAAAAATATTCTAACAGAAATAAGAAAGTTCACTATTTCAAGGAATAAAGCATTACTTACAATCAACAGCTAAATTGTTTAAAAACAAAAGTAATACTTTTTAATTTATACAAACTCCCTCAGACTAATAACAACTTGTAAAAGATTCTGCTTACAAATGTGAGAAAGATTTCAAGATTCTCAAGCTTACAAACAGTATTGAAATGGGGAAAACAGGCACTCTCTCATACACTGGCAATGAGATGGCACACTAACAGGATCTTTAGGGGAGGCAATGCAACAGTGACCATCAAAACTTAAAGTACACATGCCCCTTGACCCAGGAGTTCCAATTCCAGGAGTCTATTCTAAAGAAATACTCACTCAAGTCCAAAAGCATCTTCAGTGCAGCATTGCCTGAAACAGTGAAAAATTGGAAACAACCTAAATGTCAATCAATGAGGGAGGAATTAAATAAACTGAGGTATATCCATACAATGGAGGACTATGTGTGACTAACAAAGTGTAGACTGTGTCTCTTGACAAGAATTCAGAGATACAGTGCTAAGTGAAAAGCTCTCAGGAAGATGAATACAGTTGATCCAATTTATTTTTTAAATGAGTAGGTGAATATTCATGATCATATGCTCAAATGCTGTAGAGAGGACTGGAAGGATACGAACTCCAAAGGATTAATAATGGCTATGGGGGAGTCCCATTATAAAATCCTTAGCTCTTAATGTCACAGAACAATATATTCCTATTCAGTTTATATTAGAAAAGAAAATTTAAAAGATTACAGAGTATACAACTTAATATGTGGGCATAACAATAGGGAAAATATCTCAGAGAAAGATACACTTTTTTCAGTTGTCTTCGAACGACTGTATTTTAGCTCAAAAAAATTTTTAAATTATACACTCAAAAAATTTTAATTAAAACCTATGTGTCAGAGTAGGAGAAATTTTACCTTGCTTATTTTAGAATGTGTATCTTTCTCCATTTTTTTCTGGTTTTCTTTTCTGTCTGTTTTTTGTGAAGCTGCTGACTCTTCTTCTACTTCATCCTCTCCCTCCCCTCTTTTTTTATCCGCTTTCTGGTCTCTGATTTCAGCCACTTTTGCTGTAGGCCTAGATATTCTTGGAGATCTCCTTAACGTACGACCAATATTTGTCTTCTCTTCCTCCTTTTCTGTCTTCTCTTGCTTTTGTCCTAGTTCTAGAATTTTGGGAGGAGACTCCGTCTTCTTCTTTCGACTCGATATCCTAATTGTTAACTTGATGCCCTCTTTCTGCCTTTCAGAGGTTATCTCTGTATTTTCTGTGGCAATGTTTTCTTCTTCAGGAACCAACTTATACTTGAATTTGCTTTTCTGCATAGAACCTTTTGGTTCAGAAGGCTCCTCTATGCCAGAGGTCTGGGCATTGTCTGGATTATCCATTTCCACCTTCATGGATTCTGAATCCTCTTTAAGAGCATCTGTCTTTTCCAGAGAATAACCCCCAACAGGACTTGTATTCTGGCTTTCTGCCCGTTGATTTTCAACGGCTATTTGGTCACAGTGCGATGTGGCCTTAGATGGTGAAGTTTCAGCTTTCCCTGGAGAGCCCAGTTTTTCTGATTCTAGAGTACTCCTCGGAACTTCCTCTGGTATAGGACTCAGTCTCTGCAAATCCTTATCAAAAAGAGTCCTTTTGCACTTCTCTGACTTTTCAAGACACTCCATGACAGGTGGACGGGTATCTGTCTTAGCCTTAGGAGACCTGTCTTCCACTTTCGTGGCACATGACTCAGTGGTAGATACAGCAGCTGTTATACAGAGAGCTTTTGCCAACTCAGAAGACTCAAGAGAGGTTTCCATTGCCGGCTGACCAGGCTCTTTTATTTGCCCTTTTTGATTCTGGGTCTCTGGGGTTGCCATGGCACCTCCTGTGTCTTTCCCTGCAGGGGCCCCTTCTTTCTCTTGCTCTCCTGTTTTCATATTGGTGATGACAGAACTTAGGGTCTCTGTTCCATTTCCCTCCATGACACTTTTGTCCTTAGAAGGGCTACTGTGCACATCTTCCTTTGTTTCACAGAACTTTGCTTCAATGTGTTCTGCCTTAACATTTCCAGTTACCTTTTCATCACTCACTTCTCCATTTACCATTTGCTTCCCTTCATGACACAGAGTGGTGATTGTAGAAACCCTTTTACAAGTCTCCTCTTCCTGTTTTATTTCATCTTTCAAAAACTCTTTTGTTGGAGTAACGGATTTACACAAAGTTCCTTTCACTGGACTGTCAAAGTCATCACTCAGCTTGATTTCTCTTTTTTTTAGTGGTATCTTGGCTTGCTGGTCATTTTTCAGCTTCTCTGTCTCCTCAGGAGATTTCTCTGTAATGTCTTGAGAACACTTCATGTTACAACTGAATTCGAACCTCTCGGGCTCCTGTGGCACCAGCTTCTCTGGGTTACCTTTGGTATCCTTAGGGTCTGCTCTGGAGTCATTTATTTCAACTTTAATGGGTTTGACATTTTCCTTGAAAGAATCACTTTCTTCTTTGATCATTTTTTTTTCTTCAACTTCTGGAGGAGATTTTTCTAGCTTGACTATAACTGGCAGTTTCACAAGATCTTTTTCATCTTCCCTTTCTATTTTCACAGTAGTCTCCTCTACAATATTGGCCGCAGGATGGTTTTCTGGTTTCGCTGGCTGCTCTTCACCTCTCATCTTTCCGCCTTCCTTCTGTTCCTCTACAAATCAAAACAGCTTAATTATATACATTGAAGCTTTCCAGGACACAAAATACTTTCAAGGACACAGAAGACTTACTATATATTTTTATTTGTATTATCTTTCTTAAAAGAGGCAGATTTTGTCATTGCCTATTTGATGTTAAATAATCTGCCAAAGAAATAAAGCACAACTTGCAGATATCAAAAACCGAGACTCATATTTCTGATTTTTCCTTCCAGCTTCAGAGTTCTCAATGAAGTACAGGGAGATATTTACTCAGCTCATGTAATTTAGTCACGCTCATGAAATGGCTCAAAAACACAAAACTGAAAATACTGCACACAACATTTTCAGAAGACCATATTTGTTTTATAAACTGCCAACTGTTCTTCATGGCAAGCTACTGAATGCTTCATTTCACTAAGATAACATGATCGCAGCAGTAGAAAAATGAAAACTAGAGAAAACTGGAGAATAATGACCATAACCCTACTATCGAGGGGCAATGACTAGTAGAATTTTAGGTTATCTCTCACTGCTATTTACTTTCCACAAAATTAGAATCAATGCTTTTCTGCAAATATTAGAACTCTGACAAAACTGAACTTTTCACATATTTGGTATATGTCTTTTATAATGCATTTATACAACAAAGTACTTTATCAAATGACATTGTTCAATATTCTGGAAGTTAACACTTTACAAAAGACTTACTGGGTTTAACTGTCAATTCTGCTATTTGCTATACTGGGTTTAAATTTTTTGGCTTTTATGGAAAACCAAACAGAGAAGACTGAAAGCTGGACTTCAGTGAGGACTGTGGAGCACACAAATCCTCAAATGCGGTGCTGGGAATCCGAGCAGGGTTTTCATCACAGATTGGCTACTGACTTCAGTATTTTGCCTCATCCTTGTAAAGTGGAAAACCCTAAAATCTAAACAGTATCAGCAACATATGAGTTTGTTTAAAATTTATGAACAGATCATTGTTGATTAACCACACGAACCATACAGGAGATGAAGCAGGGCTTGTTATTTTATTTTTGAAAAAATGATTTATTGGGCCCGGCGGTGTGGCGCAGTGGTTAAAGGTCCTCGCCTTGCACGCCCGGGATCCCATATGGGCGCGGGTTCTAATCCCAGCAGCCCCGCTTCCCTTCCAGCTCCCTGCCTGTGGCCTGAGAAAGCAGTCTAGGACGGCCCAAAGCTTTGGGACCCTACACCCGCCTGAGAGACCTGGAAGAGGCTCCTGGTTTGGATCAGCATAGCATTAGCCATTGCACTCACTTGAGGAGTGAATCATCGGACGGAAGATCTTCCTCTCTGTCTCTCCTCTCTGTATATCCGCCTTTCCAATAAAAATAAAATAAATCTTAAAAAAAAAAGTTTTATTTTATTTTTATTTGAAAGGTGAAAAAACAGAGAAGGAGAGACAGAGATTCTCCATCCACTGCAACAGCTGGAGCTGAGCCAATTGAGAGCCAAGAGTTTCTTACAGGTCGACCACGTGGGTGTAAGGTCCCAAGGACTTGACCCATTCTCCATAAAAAGGGATTTGGATCAGAAGTGGAGCAACCTATATGTGTCCAAATAGCATGCTGGTGCTGTAGGCAAAGGATTCGCTGATACACCACCACCTCAGTCCATTGCATCAATCACTTTAAAATATTTATTTACAGGACTGGCACTATGGTCTCCCTCCCACTCCTCCTTGTGAACATAGGAGAAAAAAAATAACATCTTTACCATCTACATTCCTCCATACTTGACTCTCCCCACACTAATCAGAGGTCTACATGGACATGCATCCCTTTCAACTATGTAAACAATACCAAAAAAAAAAAAATAAAAGAAATTCTAGAAAGAAATAACCCACAGGTACAGAATATGCACCATTCTAAGTAGTAAAAACTTGGCTCCATTTCAGCCAGGACATGAATCCCTCTTTGCTCTGAATATTCACAAGACCAGTGCTTTGTATATTACAAGTAATCTTCATAATCAAGGTGTCTCACTGCCTGTGCTCATGTAACCTTTATGTTACTTAGTAATGGCCTCTTAGTGCAAAAGACAAGGTGCTAGGAATTGTGTTATGTAAAAACCAAAACCAAACCTATAAAGAACTTCCTTTTACCAAAAAGGCACGAAGCATTGACAATATCGGATAAAAATCCGGCACACTGAAATTACTAAGCTCTATGGTAAGAAAGAATCTTTTAACTATAAACATGCAAAGGAATAAAAATTCTGTGGTTTAATTTAACTGCTGTGGTTCAAACTGCAGGTTATTGCCATAGTGCTTGGTAAACACTTAATCAGAATAGGAAAGGCACTAAACGTGTATTCACGGGGGCCAGAGTTGAAGAGTAGCACGTTAAGCCCAGGTCCTGGATGCTCCATTTCTCATCCAGCTCCTTACTAACAGTATGGGAAAAGCAGCCTAAATGGCCCAATGCTTGGGCCCCTGCCACCCACAGGAGAGACACAAATGAAGTGTTATGATTCTCGGCTTCAACTTGGCCCAGTCCTGGCTGTTGTAGCCATCTTGGGATGAGTGCTAGCAGAATGGAAACTAGCTCTCTAACTGCACTGTAACACTTTTACAGATGCGTTTCTTCTTTCAAATGGAAGCACTGTCTTCCATTTGCTGGTACATTCCCCAGAAGGCCTCAATGACCAGCACTGGGCCAGACTGAAGTCAGCAGCCAGTAGTTTCTTTCAGGTCTCTACGTGAATGCAGTGGCCCAAAGACTTGAGCCATCTTCTACTACTTTCCAGGGTACATTATTAGGGAGCTGGAGTGGAAGTGGAGTAGCCTAGACTTGAGCTAGTGTCCATATAGGATACTGCAATTACACATGGCAGCATAATGGTGGTACCTAACCAAAAAAAATTTTTTTTAATGTCTGTATATAAGAAAAAGACTCAGTACACACATTACTGAGCTTCACAGTCTAGGGTCTTCACTGGTTCTTTAGATCTCCAGTGGCAAGGGTGGTGAATCTTCTGTAGAGCACTTGCTCACCATCCCCCATGGAACCGGGAACCCTAAGGCTGCTTCACATCCAGGCTGTTTTTTTCTGTTTCCTTAAAATTTGATGTACCAATAAACTAAGTAACCTTCCTCTATTTGCAAACTAGTAATAAAAACAAGTGTTGACTAGGTCACTAGGCAACAATGTGATCTGAGGATTACATTAAACTGAAAAGTTTCTGCACAGAAAAAGAAACAATCAGCAGCCTGGTAAGGCAAAACATAATCCAGAACAGAAGGTGACTCCAACGATCAGGGGCTAATATGCAAAACACATAAGGAACTCAAGCAACAGGATGAAAACGAATTTTCCAATTAAAAATGGGCTAAAGGCATAAACAACTGTTTCTCCAAAGACAAAGGAATAGACAATATGTGTCAGAAAAAATGCTCAACATTACTCATTTTTTCAGTGAAACAGGGACTAAAACTACAGGAGGATACACTGAGGCTGCTATACAAAAGAAAACAGATTAACGACAGTCACCAGAAAAAGGAACCCTTCCTGTACTGAGACTGTGAATCCATCAGGAGAAATCTCCCAAACATTAAAACATAGAACTATCACAGCACATGTTCAGTCTCCCGGTTAAGATGCCATATGCCATTTGGAAATCACTGGGCTCAATTCCCAGATACTGACTCCAGTTTTCTGCTAGTGGAGCCCTTAACGGCATGAAATACGTTCCTGCCACCCAGGTAGCAGGTGACAGACAATTCCTGGCTCTTGGCTTTGCTCCCAGCTATTGCCTGCATTAAGACAGAGCTTCCAGCCCCTGGTTCACCGCAAAAGCCTGCAATGAGCTGAGGCAAGAAGCCACGAACTCAGCCCAGTCTCATATGTGAGCAACCAGAACTCCATTAATAGGTTCATTACTGCTGTCCTTTTATAAAAAAAATTTTTTATTGGAAAGTCAGATATATATATAGCAGAGGAGAGACAGAGAGGAAGATCTTCAGCCCGATGACTACAACCAAGTGAGCACAACAGCTGGAGCTGTCAATCCAAAACCAGGAGCTAGGAGCCTCTTCCAGGTCTCCAATGTGGCTACCGGGTCCCAAGGCTTTGGACTGCCTTTTAGATTGCTTTCTGCTGGGGTCTGTGCAGTAGGTGTGGACGACATGAAGATGTGAAGAGAACAATCCCCCTGTTTAGCATATGTCTCTACAACCACCTGAATGCAATTCCACCTTCTTCTGCAAGGACACCCAGCCACCCCGCTAAGAATTCTGTAACCTAATGAGTCATTGTTGTTTGCTCCTGCAAGATAGTTTTACAACCAATGTGAGCTTGGGAATTAATGTTGCTGACAACATCTTGGTGAATGGGCCTTTAACAATGTATGCTGTCTCAGTTGCTCTTATGGCCCTTTGGCTGGAAGAGCTCAAGAATGGCTGTACTAACATCATAATGCATGCTTTCAAACTAAGGGTTATTGAGGCCAAGGGTGTAGTGGGAATATATATTCAGGGTTTTCTTTCCTTGATCTTTAAAAGTTTCTCCTTCTGTGATATATTTTCTCCTCTAACTGATAAGTTGTAGAATGAGAATTGTGGTAGGACTGTATTACTGATTAATATGTGTTGTTCACTGAGGAATTACTAGCTTCAATGTCAGAATGGATAATGCCCTGCCTTAAGGTGAAACAATTTGCAGAATTATCTTTGGAAGCACCCGCTTGTCCATTGTAAACTTGAAATAAAAATGGAATAAACATGGCTCATTGCTAACCTCAATTATTTTTTGCCATTATAACTCCTGCTTTACTTGTTTAGCTAACAAACTGTGTGAGCTTGCAGGTCTAATGACCAGCTACTGCCAATTGTTCCAATCTCCATAAATCAAGGCCCCAGACTTATTAACCCATAGATAACTCAAGATCGGGGTCTGGTTGTCACAGGTAGCGCCAAGGTTGGAGCCCAGGCACGGGCTGGCAAGCCAAGATCAGCAAGGAGTGATCCTTCCTCACTCACCTGTTATAA